ACTAATGCGAACCTTACAATTAAATTATTAATTCCTTCGTATATTATTGGTTTAAGTTGTCGAAAATTAATATTTCAATTGTAAGGTTCGCATTAGCATACATTTATAAGAGTGGAGAAAAGTATATGCATTTTTTAATAGTTTTTTGAATATGGCTCTTTGAAGACGAAAAAGCATAGATTTTCTTACAAAGTGACTGATAACTAAAAAACTAATCCAAATTTTTGAAAAAGAAAAAATATACTTCGTCATTATGTCAAAACACTATTATGTGCCGAGTTTCGTGCCTGGGCGAGGCTTCTGGGGCGATATATTGTGATTACAGACACACACACAGCCGCGTTTATTATTATGTATGGATGTATGGATTTCAAATGGCAGAGGTGAATTGACGTGTTAAAAAGCAAAAACACAGGAACAAAACAAGAAAGTAAAAAGTCATTTCCTCAAGAGCGCTCTTGCTTCCCAATATCGTTCGGTAGATGGCGACCCGTGGAGGGCCCTGCAGCACAGGATGCAGCTGCCATCCAAAACAGCTTGGCTCATACACAGAGAACAATAGGGATCAGGTGCCAGCTCTAAACGAAACAGGTTCGCGGCTAGGCAGTCATGTCCGGTATATAGTCGAAACTGAGCCACCGCTTCGCGGCGCGGACAGTCTGGAATGGTGTTCTGTCGAAGATCTTTCCACACTTTGGTTTTTACCCTTTCTGACAATTGATGATGGAATTTCCCATTGATTTTTGATTTATTAATCCTATTGAAAGTTGAAAAGGGGACTGGCCTACAAAGAGCCTGGAGAATTCTTGTGCCTCTCTCTGCCAAAACATCAGCTTTCTTATTTCCTGCAATATCACAGTGCCCGGGAATCCATTGTAGAGCTACAGTTTTGCCAAAATGGTGGAGTTTACGTATCGCATCCTGACATTTTAGAACGTCGCAACTGGAAGGGCAATGCAAAGATTCAATCGAGCAAAGCGCCGCCTTCGAGTCTGAAAGGATAACCACATTTGAAAAAGTCTCAATAAAACAAAAAAGCTGTTCGAGAGCAATACGGATTGCAACAACTTCCTCGTCCAAAGCAGATCTATTGGCACCCACTGGAGCGATTTGAGATTACAAAAGATACCAGCTCCAGCATTTGGTTGATCCGGATCGAAAGAGCCATCTGTAAAAACTCTCAGTCAGAGCGGTTCCGGGTAACGGATTCCCATTGTCTCCAGCGCAAGAAGGTGGAGAGCAGCGGTAGATGTTTCACTTTTGACAATGTCCTGTTCAAGAGAGAGCCTGACATTAATTTTTTGGTAGTCAAGAGGGCTCACCAGCTCCTGCTGACCCTCTAGTTGGGGCATATCGATTCCAACTAATTGTTCCATGACGGTCTGAATAAATCCATTTTGAGTTTTTAAACTACGAGAAGTAAGTAGATAGTTAGTCCAAAAATTATCCATTTGGGTAAGTTTAAAGTATAGTAAGACAGCCCTTTCCCTAAGGACAACATCCAAAGGCTTAATGCCTGTGAACAAGATCATTGCGTCTATAGGTTTAGTTTTTATAGCACCTGTTATTAGTCTAAGTGCCTGATAGTTTTGTGAAACTTCAAGCTTGTGAAGTAGGGAAGTAGGCATAGAGATGAGTGGTTCAGAGCAGTAAGTAAAAATTGGAAGGATATATTTTTGATAAGTCAGAGCGAGGGCAGACCAGGCGCATCCCCAGAGAGTGCCAGCAAGTCATTTTAAAATAGGGAGGCGTCTTATTATCCGTTCGGCAAGAAATGCAACATGATTCCTCCAGCTCAGTTTAGAATCAAAAACGGTTCCGAGATAAGTGAAGAAATCAACATTTTCAAGCGTAGTGCAAGAAAAAGAGAGATTTGGTATAGAGGTCGATGAATTACAGAGAAAGTTTGAGTGGCACATTTATTCAGATTTACTACCATATTAGTTTCCTCACACCAACGACTGCAATTTTTATTGTATTTCAGATAAAACTGGATGTGAGGACTACGGAGGAAAAGAGGCGTGTCAAAAGAAAGGAGAATTCTTTACTTGCAATAATGACAAACAAAATGCCTCCAAATACTCGTGCGACTGTCTCCCTGGGTACAAAATGGAGAAAGAAAAATGCATTGGTAAGTTTTACTGTTTCTCACCGACATTAATATTTTTAGTAGCAGGGAAAAAAGAGTAACTTTATTAATACAGGAAAGAAAAAAAATGACAATTCATATTTCTTACAAAAAATGTTTATAACTATTTCCCACATCACAAATTAAATTTTCTATTGTATTTTAGCTAAAACTGGATGCGAGGACAACGGAGGGAAAGAGGCGTGTCAAAAGAAGGGAGAATTCTTTACTTGCAATAATGACAAACTGAATGCCTCCAAATACTCATGCGACTGTCTCCCTGGGTACAAAATTGAGAAAGAAAAATGCATTGGTAAGTTTTACTGTTTCTTAACTACATTAATATTTTTAGTAATAGAGAAAAAAGAGTAACTTTATTAATACAGGGAAGAAAAAAATGTCAATTCATATTTCTTAAAAAAAATGTTTACAACTGCAGTGAACTCTCACTTATGCACCGGTGTAAGGGGGGCGAACAGAAAAAGGCGCATAAGTGAAAAACTTCAAAATTCTAAAACGCATCGTAAATTGCAGTGACAATATGAATAAATATGTTTCTAAAGATTAAGTGTTAATATTTATTCTGTTAAAGATTAAATTTTAACATTTATACTGTTATAATTTTAATATTTATACTGTTGAAGATTAAATTTTAACATTTATACTGTTATAATTTTAATATTTATACTGTATACTATAATTATACAAAGAAAAAATTTAGCATACCTAAAGACAACTTTATTTTCTTACGAAATAATCCTTAATGCATGTTTGTGTTTGTTTTTGCCGACGTATTTCAAAAAACAGTTTTTTCCAGTTCATTTAAATGGGATAAGGGAGTTTCAGAAGAAGAATTAAATTGTAAATAGTCACGAATAGTGTCTAATGCTTCTAATACTGCTGTGCGATTTGGAGGAACTTTATCATCCTCCACGTTCTCATCCTCCATTTCATTAGCGATGTCATCAATGTCTCTTAATTTCGTTGTTAATAAATTATTATCAAAGGCAATAAATTCATTAAAAGAAACAAGTTCGTTTGATACAGCTTTCCATTCGTTATCCCTAAAATCGATATCCCAATCTTCTTCAATTTCGCTAACTTGATCTATAAATTCATTTTCATCTCAAAATATAAATCCAGCTTTTTTGAAGCAATTCCTTATGCAGGATTGTCCAATGCTTCTCCATGCAGTGCATACTATATTCATGGCATCCAGAACTAAAACCTTTACGTCGGCTGCTGCTGATTTGCCTGTTTCCAGTTCTGCTAGATATCGACGAATCAGTGTTTTTCTATAATGAACTTTCAAGGAATGGATAATACCTCAATCCAAAGGTTGTAACTTGCACGTGCAATTTGCAGGAAAAAACACTACTTTGATGTGTTGAGAAGTTGGTAAGTCTCGTGGATGCGCTGGACATTGATCCATAAAAAGGAGGAGTTTTCTTTTTTCTTTTTCCATTTTTTTCTCAAATGCATGAAGAAAAGGTAAAAAAAATTTTGAGGTCATCCATGCTGCTTTATTGCTTAAGTACTCACAGGGAAGTCGCCTTATTTTTTTAAAACAGCGAGGTTTTTTTTATTTGCCAATAATAAAAGGGGAATGTTTCTCTGATCCATCTGCATTACAACATAATAAAATGGTTAATTGTTCTTTACTGTTTCTTCCACCGTGGTAGGGTCCCCCCTTAAATGCCAATGTTGTCTTAGGCATCATCCTGAAAAACAAACCAGTTTCATCACAATTAAAAATGTCCTTTGGTTTGTATCCTTTAATTAAAGATTTTAATTCATCTTTTCATTGCTCTACAGTCTTTTCGTCCACGCTAGCACTTTCACCAGATATTGTACGAGTTTCTAGGCCATGTCGGATCGTAAATTTCTCTACCTATCCATGTGAAGCTGAAAAATTTCCAATTTTCAAAGTTTCTGCGAGATGAACAGCTTTTTGCCTAAGTAATTCTATATTAACCGGAATGTTAGAAGCACGAGCCTCTTTAAACAATTGCAATAAAACACTTTCCAGTTCTTGAAACTTTCCATCTTGAATACGACTTCTCTTCGAGGATTTAATTCCACATTCCCGTTGAGCAGCAACAATTACATCCTTTTTTTTAAAAATCCCTTTTAAAGTTGATTCAGGAATTTTAAAATGATCAGATAAAGCTTTTTTAGTCGTTGATGGATTTTCTTCAAATCTCTTAATGATATCCGCTTTAAAAGATAAGCTCAATTTCGTTCACTTTGCCATTTCGTTAAGAGACAAATCTTAAATGCTACACAAGTTTAAGTTAGATATAAATGAACAGTTCTTCACAAAACATTTGAGTTTTATGGGAGAGGGTGAAACGTCACATGATTAATTTCTAAGGAAAGTACTTGACGTCATAATATGCTGCACAATAAGTTGTTTGATTATTAGTGTCACAGAACAGACCACCTACTTTTATGTACTTGAGATGTCCATCTGACTGCAAGTAAGTGATAGCGGTCTCTTTCATTTTTCGTATTCCAGGTGTCTTTTTCTCTAGAAGACAGCAAGGGAGTAAAACTAACCTCTGGGCCAGAGGAATTGTCATTTTCTTAAAGATAAATGGGCTTTCATTGTTGTGCGTGTAACAGATAAGACACCCTATTCAAATATGTGGAAAGAATGTCTTTCTAGAACAGCCAAAATGTGAAGGTCACAGGGGAAAGAAAAGGGAGCTTTTCGATAGAATTTAACAACATATTTCTTTTTATCTGTAACAAGGATTGCTTATTTGCTTCAATTTTTAATTAGAAACCTTTCTCTTTTAAAAAAAAGAAAAAAGGGGGGAGAAGGAAAAAAGTGTTTAAAGGAAGAAAAAAATTAAAATGTTAGCCTAAAATTTCGGCGCGTAATTGAAAAATTAATTTTTAGAGCGGTGCATAAACGAAAGATGATTATCATTATTTTCCTACCTAATGTACCGGGACTTAGAAAAATCGTCGTATAAATGAAAAAGGCGCATAAAAGAGGTGGTGCATAAGTGAGAGGTCACTGTATTTCCCATATCACAAATGAAATTTTTTATTGTATTTCAGCTAAAACTGGATGCGAGGACTACGGAGGGAAAGAGGCATGTCAAAAGAAAGGAAAATTCTTTACTTGCAATAATGACAAACTAAATGCCTCCAAATACTCGTGCGACTGTCTCCCTGGGTACAAAATGGAGAAAGAAAAATGCATTGGTAAGTTTTACTGTTTCTTAACGACATTCATATTTTTAGTAGTAGGGAGAAAAGAGTAACTTTATTAATACAGGAAAGAAAAAAATGTCAATTCATATTTCTTACAAAAAATGTTTACAACTATTTCCCATATCACAAATGAAATTTTTTATTGTATTTCAGTTAAAACTGGATGCGAGGACTACGGAGGGAAAGAGGCGTGTCGAAAGAAAGGAGAATTCTTTACTTGCAATAATGACAAACTAAATGCCTCCAAATACTCGTGCGACTGTCTCCCTGGGTACAAAATGGAGAAAGAAAAATGCATTGGTAAGTTTTACTGTTTCTTAACGACATTCCCTTTGGATAATTTGCCATAGAGAAGCCTATGGTAATCTATGGCTACCATAGAAATTTGTATGGCAAGATACCATACGCCTATGGTTACCATAGAGATTGGTATGGCACAACCCCATAAGCCTATGGCTGCCATAGAAATTTGTATGGTAAGATACCATACGCCTATGGTTACCATAGAGATTTGTATGGCAAACCCCCATAAGCCTATGGCAACCATAGAAATTTGTATGGCAATATACCATAGGCCAATGGTAACCATAAAGATTTGTATGGCAGTATACCATAAGGAAAAGCTAATCTAAATCCCCACCAATGAAACAACAACTCCAATGGAGTCCTCAAAAACATCTTCTAAAAGAAAGCAATATTCATTCTTCACTCCGAAGTTAATTAAATTCAACATTTAATCCCACAAGGCATTCCTGGTGAGTCTTTTCCGGCCTCCGGTTGGCCAATTTTTCCATTTTTGAGTGTTTTAAATCCGATGTTCCATTGATTTAAGCTTGGAGTATCAGACAGCGATATTAACGTGTCATCCACTACAAGTGGAATCTTTCGCTAACTTTGGCGACTTATTTTAATATTTTTTCAATCTCATTCTTGGTCAAAAACATTTTATTGTAAACGCCTATGCGATTATCTATCTGAATTTTATAAGTTTTTAATTTCCGGCGGTCTGGTACTTTTATTATATGTATCTTTTCAAAATATGTCGCGATTGGGTATAGGTTTTCGCTATGTTAAATTTTTCCATTTGTTAACGCTGACTTTGTACACTTTAATTAATATCTCGCTGTTTATATTTTTATCTAAATTTTTTATAGTTCTTTCTCCCAACTGTTTCTGATTGAACGACATCTTTCTTTTAATTTTATCCCCCTTATATTAATTTTATTTTTCCTGATTTTATATAATGTCACTCCACTTTTCCATTATTAATGGTGTTCTATTCCCCATAGTAATTTGTAAACAATTTTCATGATGAAAAACGCAGTTAAGTGCTTATCATCAAGCCAGATCCATCATTTCTTTAATAATTAAATTTTTTTAATTCTTTTAAATTGTTCGGTGACAATTTCATTTTATTGCTGTCATATATCAATATCAAAGTCAGTGTTTANGGTCACTGTATTTCCCATATCACAAATGAAATTTTTTATTGTATTTCAGCTAAAACTGGATGCGAGGACTACGGAGGGAAAGAGGCGTGTCAAAAGAAAGGAAAATTCTTTACTTGCAATAATGACAAACTAAATGCCTCCAAATACTCATGCGACTGTCTCCCTGGGTACAAAATGGAGAAAGAAAAATGCATTGGTAAGTTTTACTGTTTCTTAACGACATTCCCTTTGGATAATTTGCCATAGAGAAGCCTATGGTAATCTATGGCTACCATAGAAATTTGTATGGCAAGATACCATACGCCAATGGTTACCATAGAGATTTGTATGGCACAACCCCATAAGCCTATGGCTGCCATAGAAATTTGTATGGTAAGATACCATACGCCTATGGTTACCATTGAGATTTGTATGGCAAACCTCCATAAGCCTATGGCAGCCATAGAAATTTGTATGGCAATATACCATAAGCCAGTGGTAACCATAAAGACTTGTATGGCAGTATACCATAAGGAAAAGCTGATCTAAATCCCCACCAATGAAAGAACAACTCCAATGGAGTCCTCAAAAACATCTGCTAAAAGAAAGCAATATTCATTCTTCACCCCGAAGTTAATTAAATTCAACATGTAATCCCACAAGGCATTCCTGGTGAGTCTTTTCCGGCCTCCGGTTGGCCAATTTTTCCATTTTTGAGTGTCTTAAATCCGATGTTCCATTGATTTAAGCTTAGAGTATCAGACCGCCATATTAACGTGTCATCCACTACAAGTGGAATCTTTCGCTAACTTTGGCGACTTATTTTAATATTTTTTCGATCTCATTCTTGGTCAAAAACATTTTATTGCAAACGCCTATGCGATTATCTATCTGAATTTTATAAGTTTTTAATTTCCGGCGGTCTGGTACTTTTATTATCTGTATCTTTTCAAAATATGTCGCGATTGGGTATAGGTTTTCGCTATGTTAAATTTTTCCATTTGTTAGCGCTGACTTTGTACACTTTAATTAATATCTTGCTGTTTATATTTTTATCTAAATTTTTTATATTTCTTTCTCCCAACTGTTTCTGATTGAACGACATCTTTCTTTTAATTTTATCCCCCTCCCTCTGATTTTATATAATGTCATTCCACTTTTCCATTATTAATGGTGTTCTATTCCCCATAGTAATTTGTAAACAATTTTCATGATGTAAAACGCAGTTAAGTGCTTATCATCAAGCCAGATCCATCATTTCTTTAATAATTAAATTTTTTTAATTCTTTTGAATTGTTCGGTGACAATTTCATTTTATTGGTGTCATATATCAATATCAAAGTCAGTGTTTACATTCTCATTAGTTTTTGATTTTAATTCCACTTAGGTTCTTGCTATGCTTTTTTACATTATCTTACATATGTTAGGGCTTCATATTTTTGTTTTGTGTTTAATTTTTGTTTGCTATTAAATTGTTTTTTACCATGCCTCTGTGTTTTACTATCCTACAACTAATATTTCTTAAGTATCCATATATATTTGTACAATGTTCTGTTACATATTTATAAATAGCTTAGGGTCATCACTTAACAAGATTTGCTGGATTACTTGTTCACAATTGTTTTGCTTTAATATCATCAACGGGACAGTCCCTGGCCATATCATCTGCTGCTGTTACCACAAATGCGTTTAACAATTTAATCTTTCCTTGAGTTTACAACTTTTTCGTCATAGCGATTCCCTATACCCAATTAATTTTTATTTACTATCCCTGACCAACTGTCAATAGCAATTATTAATTTTACCAATTTTAATCATGTCTTAAACATATTTTGTATTTACCAATGTTTCTATATTGCGTTCTCTTTTCTAATTGTGCTTAACACAACTCAACATAAATTTTCTGAGTTTATATCCCTCACTAGTAGGGGATGAAGTAATTTAGCCTGTTTTCTATTCTTAGCTTTTTATAGTCTAATACCATCTTTTTTATAAAATTTTGTTCACATACCACCACTGGTTGCATCGTTACATATGCGGCTTTTGTTCCTTTTGGTCTATTTTAAACTAATTTCGCTTCGACCACTCTTTATCTTCTGAGATTTCATAGTATTTTATTGTTTTAGTAGTCTGTTTAATTTTAAGCTTGGTATTACATATCAAAATTTTAAAAAATTTCTTATTCGCTCCGACCATCGGACCATTATTTTACTTCACTTCCTTTTAGGTTCCTCTTATATCTGATACGCTTATCTAAATACTAATTATGATACCAATCAATCAAATTAACGTTTTTTATACTATCTCCGACCTTCGGGCCCACTTTCTATTTTCTTGTTTTTTACAGCTTTAACAAGTATTGGTTGTCCTTACTCAATATATTTTGTTTCTAATCAACATAACTAATATTTTCCCCTCTCGCTCCGACCACCGGACCCATTTTCTAATGGTTAGTACTAACCGTTTGAAATTTATTTCAATAAAAAAATCATTCAGAAAGGATCCTGCAAGTAAAACGGGGGAAGTTTATCAAAGAAATTTTTAAAAAAAGCTTCCTGGATATATATTTTTTCTACAATTATTAGGTTTTGCATTTTCAATATCCATTGCGAAAGATTCTTGTAAGTAACAATTTTTTGATGCAAGGTAAAATATCAACAACAAATGTTGCCATAGCTGTATGGCAAAGGTGTACCATAGCCTATGGCAAAATATTTCTTCATAAGCTGTAGCACATCTTAGTTTTATCGCAAAATTTCGCCATACGTATGTGGCAAAAGTGTATGGCAAAATTTTACCATAGGCAAAACCCCATAGAAATATCCTACGGCATTTTTTTATGGCACTCCTATGGCAAATTTTCCTAAGGGTTAATATTTTTAGAAGTAGGGGAAAAAGAGTAACTTTATTAATACAGGAAAGAAAAAAATGTCAATTCATATTTCTTACAAAAAGTGTTTACAACTATTTCCCATATCACAATTTTTATTGTATTTCAGTTAAAACTGGATGCGAGGACTACGGAGGGAAAGAGGCGTGCCAAAAGAAAGGAGAATTCTTTACTTGCAATAATGACAAACTAAATGCCTCCAAATACTCGTGCGACTGTCTCCCTGGGTACAAAATGGAGAAAGGAAAATGCATTGGTTAGTTTTACTCTTTCTTAACGACATTAATATTTTAAGTAGTAGGGAAAAACGAGTAATTTTATTAATACAGGAAAGAAAAAAATGTCAATTCATATTTCTTTAAAAAAAATGTTTACAACTATTCCCCGTATATCAAATGAAATTTTTTATTGTATTTCAGTTAAAACGGGATGTGAGGACTACGGAGGGAAAGAGGCATGTCAAAAGAAAGGAGAATTCTTTACTTGCAATAATAACAAACTAAATGCCTCCGAATACTCGTGCGACTGTCTCCCTGGGTACAAAATGGAGAAAGAAAAATGCATTGGTAAGATTTACTGCTTCTCTCCGACATTAATATTTTTAGAAGCAGGGAAAAAAGAGTAAATTTATTAACACAGGAAAGAAAAAATGTCAATTCATATTTCCTAAAAAAAATTTTTACAACTATTTCCCATATCACAAATGAAATTTTCTATTGTATTTCAGTTAAAACTGGATGCGAGGACAACGGAGGGAAAGAGACGTGTCAAAAGAAAGGAGAATTCTTTACTTGCAATAATGACAAACTAAATGCCTCCAAATACTCGTGCGACTGTCTCCCTGGGTACAAAATTGAGAAAGAAAAATGCATTGGTGAGTTTTACTGCTTCTTAACGACATTAATATTTTTAGAAGTAGGGAAAAAAGAGTAACTTTATTAATACAGGAAAGAAAAAAATGTCAATTCATATTTCTGAAAAAAAAATGTTTACAACTATTTCCCTCATCACAGTTTTTATTGTATTTCAGTTAAAACTGGATGCGAGGACTACGGAGGGAAAGAGGCGTGTCAAAAGAAAGGAGAATTATTTACTTGCAATAACGACAAACTAAATGCCTCCAAATACTCGTGCGACTGTTTCCCGGGGTACAAAATGGAGAAAGAAAAATGCATTGGTGAGTTTTACTCTTTCTTAACGACATAAATATTTTTAGTAGTAGGGAAAAACGAGTAACTTTATTAATACAGGAAGAAAAAAAAATGTCAATTCATATTTCTTAAAAAAAAATGTTTACAACTATTCCCCATATATCAAATTAAATTTTCTATTGTATTTCAGTTAAAACTGGATGCGAGGACTACGGAGGGATAGAGGCGTGTCAAAAGAAAGGAGAATTCTTTACTTGCAATAATAACAAACTAAATGTCTCCAAATACTCGTGCGACTGTCTCCCTGGATACAAAATTGAGAAAGAAAAATGCATTGGTGAGTTTTACTCTTTCTTAACGACATCAATATTTTTAGACGTAGGGAAAAAAAAGTAACTTTATTAATACAGGAAAGAAAAAAATGTCAATTCATATTTCTTAAAAAAAATGTTTACAACTATTCCCCGTATCTCAAATGAAATTTTTTATTGTATTTCAGTTAAAACGGGATGCGAGGACTACGGAGGGAAAGAGGCATGTCAAAAGAAAGGAGAATTCTTTACTTGCAATAATGACAGACTAAATGCCTCCAAATACTCGTGCGACTGCCTCCCTGGCTACAAACTAGAGAATGAAAAATGCATTGGTAAATTTTACTGTATCTTATCGATATTAAGATTTTTAGTATTAGGGAGAAAGAGTAACTTTACAAATACAGGAATGAGAAAAATAAGAAATCATATTCCCTGAAGAAAATTGTTTACGCCTCTTTCCTATATAGCCAATCGACAAAGAAAAATATGTATCTATAAATATATATTTTTCTCAATGAATTTTTAATTACTTTGCAAACATTGGAATAGAAATAGAATTTTTAGTCATAGTTTACTTTATTTATATGTTTACTCTTTCATAGTTGTGTATGGTACTAAGATGCAGGCATTTATTTAGTCTACGTTCTTGGGCATGAATTATTTTTTATCCTGTACTAGAATATTTTTTTCTAAAAAATGTAAGAAAAATCCTGTTTTGGTATTCTGTGTGATATTTCGATGATTTAGGCGTATAGTAATAGTTATGAAAAATTCCTCTTCCCCATTAAAAGTAAACAAGATTTTAGAACGTAAAACGCCTTCTGTCGGGGATATTCCTCTCTTAGAAAGGAACGTAACTGTGTGTCATTCTTTACCTCGATATATCAAACCAATAAAAATTTATTCATCCCAAGTTCCATTGCCATGCGAAAATTTAATCTGAATTTTATCGTCTTTCTTACCTTATATACTCCTTTTTAAAATGCGCATTTTTTTGAGTCGAGAACATTTGATTAAATTTTATTAGCTTTTTTTGCCAGTAAATTCCCTGTAAAAATTTTCTAATTTTTTTTTCTCCTAAAACCTTATTCTTTCTGCAAATGTTTGGGAAGTCAGTCTTTTCTGTGTTAATATTGAGCCCAAATCACAAAGCAATCTGATATAAGAAAGAATTGACAATTACTTAATCAATTACGAGTGGTATGAGAGCAGCAGGGAGTAGGAGAAGGATCTTGTTTCGGAAGGAAGAACTTGTATACTGCATCGATCTAGTCAGTTGGTGAAAAAACAATATAAAGATAAACAACGGAGGATAAACAGTGTGCAAAATACAAGCAATACACTCAGATATCTTTTATCGGTCATTCTGACGGCTATGTTCATTGTAGGTAAATCGCCAAATAATGTTCTCATTATGTAATCTTAAAAAAGTTTACTTAAGTGCTTTTGAAGATTTCAAAAACTTAAAAAGCCACGTAAGTTAATTTTGCTTGCATGATTATTTTATGACATAGCACCTCTCAAAATTAATTATCTCCAAAAATGATCATTCCGATCACTCTAATGTTAATTATTTTTTATAGTTTATATCAGGTAAACTCAATGATCAACATGAGCTTGTTTGCTTTGGCTGACCGCGTCATCAAATTAATATTTTTTAAGTTTTCTGAAACCAGAGGCTTTTTTTTGGTATATTTTCTTATTTGTCAAAGTTATTATAATTATTTTACTTTTAAAACATATATTTCTGTAAATCTAATGATTTTAAAATCAATCATAATTCAAATTACCTCTATATATTTTGTTCTGATCAGCAGAATTAATAGATAGCTCTAAATCGTTCAAGAGAAGGGTGAAATATCAAAAACCTATTATTGACGACAATGATACATATTAAATTTTTGTAAAAGGTACTAATTGGAATAAATATATTAAGTTTCATACAAAACTGCAGAAGTAATGGAGAAATGCTAAATTAATTTTGATAATAGTTACTAACTGATAAAAATAATACTGTAAAAAAACTATTGTGGCACTAAAAAGCAAAATTAATGTTGAAACGGTACTTATTCGTTCAGGAGAAAAGTAAAATATTTTTTTCCTTTTTACTATTTATAAAGCCAATGATACTTAATTAATTTTGGTAATAGGTACTAATTAAAATAAACCTATAAACTGTAAAATAAGAGCCAAAATTAATGTAGAAATGTTCTAATTCGTTTAGGTAAAACGTAAAAAAAATGTCATTCTATTATTGACGATTATGATGCTTAATTAATTTAGGTAATAGATACTCAATGGATTAAAGAACTAGCTATGTACTGAAAAGAAAAATTAATGAAGAAACGGTACTAAATCATTTAGGAGGAGCTTTAAACATCACTATAATATTATCGAGGCCAACGATGTTTGATTAATTTTGGCAATAGGATCTTTTGGTAATATGCAATTTTAATTGCTACCAAATATATTAATATAGGTACAATTAGATATTTGGTACCTGTTAAGACAGCAACAATACTGTACAGTTTTAATTTAAATACTGTTTTTATGCTCCCTCGAAAGGGAAAATCGCTTGTTCGTTGTTATTTTTGACTATCATGAGTTGGCCTTGAGCAGTACCATCTTGCCAAACTATTTTAAAAGCAATAAACCTTTATTTTATTATTATGAAATATATTTTTAATACTCATGCATTATAATACTCATTTAATATATTCAATGTGATAAACTTCTAATAATCTAATAACGTAAAGCCACCGGAAAGGATTAGTTTTGTGCCATTTTTGATTTCCAAAGCTTACATAAAATTATTTTTTGGGGAGAAATAATTTTAAAAATTTGAATAGAATTTGAATTTGTATATATAAAATCCATGTCTCTTACCACCTGAATGTTTTTTTCAATATTGTTAAATATCATTATTTTCAACATAAAATAGTCTAGAGCGCGTTAATTAGAAATAGAAAGTGTTTTTTAAGTAAAATACTTCGATGTATTTTTTATAACACTAAACAAGCATTTTTTACTTCAATTTTTCTTCGCATTAAGTTTATTTCATTCTTTTATTTGTAAAAAAATCGCAAGGAAAATATATTTTTGTTCATTAAAAAAAAAGGTTTCAAGATTTTTTTTATAGTGAAATTAAAAAGTTTCTTGATCTCAGTTTTTTTCCTTGAAATATTTTTTTAATAAACATTAAAAAATCTCAAAATGCTTTTTTAGCATAATTAAAAGGTGAATTGTAAGTATGCGAACAACTGAAATAAATTTACAGGAATATTATTTATTTTCCGTACATTTTGCCTTATTTTACGCAGAAGAGTTTTGTTTTTCTATCATAGGCGAATCTATTATCCGTATTACTACGTCATTATGAATTTTTTTTCATTTTGTTGATAAGTTTTGGTATCTCATGTACTCATTATCTAATGCTTGAAGCTGCATATTATAATTGTTCATCTTCATATTTAGCACGCCTTTTTTTTTCTTGCTCCGAATTAAAAAGGAAAAGCGAATCCTAGACTAGCATCAGATTTAATGCTTCATTTTTAAATATATTTTATTCCATATTTCCCTTTCAGTAGTAGTGTATAGAATTCGTCTATTACTACCTTTGTTTTTTTTTAGTCTGAGCTTAATGAACCAAAAGCCAATTAAATACTTAATGCTAAAAAATCCTTATCATTCAAAAAGTTTCATTTTGTTAAGTGACTTGCAATAGTGCTTAAACGTTACTATTGATTTCTCAATATATGAGCAACATTTTAGAATTATACGTTAACACTTTGTGCCACTCACAAGACATAGAACTGTTGATGTTCAAGGAATATTTTTAAATAAAGGTTCACATTTACTTCACTTTCGGACAATAAAAATACAACTGTTTAATATATAAAATCCATTTCCGTGGAAGTAGCAGAAGATATTAACGTGCGATTCTAAAATTTCGTACGCACAGAAATGTTTGTGAATGGAATTTTAACTTATTTTGTAGTTGAGAATTAACCAATCAACAAAATATGTGATTTTTTAAATTATTGTTTAAAATTTTGAGCAATTTACGGTGATTTTTAGTCTTTAGAAGGTATTAAAACAGGGTTAAATCATGCATACTTCTTAATTGATTTCAGTAGGCATTTTTTCCGACTGGCAACTTCTTTTCCCACTAGCCTGAAGACAATTTAACTATCTTGACCCACCTCTTTAGCTAAACTTTACCAAATGCATTTATATGAACGATATTATAAAGTGTTTTATTTCGTAAATAAAGGAAATAAAACTAGATATAATAAAATTAGATTGATAGAAGTTACTTTACCATGCATAATTCTTGATTATTCTGAAATAAATTTATTCTCCTAAACCGAGAATCTAATTTACATAAATTTTGCGCTATACTAAAGTTATGCAGTTTCTTTTCTACTTATAGCACGCGAATAAATAATTAAATCATATTAAATTTATAACAATTTCTTAATTATCTGTCTTTAGTTTGCTGATATTTTTTTGTATTGGATGAATTTGAAAATAAATTAAAATGCCAATGCAATTTCAATATTTTATTAGATAATCTATAAGTGCATAAAACAACATAAATTTTGTAGTTGATGCATCATCTTCAACAGCGGGAATCAGCGAAAACCCGACAAACATAGTCACAACTAAGAGTGAGTATTGAAAATTAAAATACATTGTGTATTTAAAGATTGAAATAAAATTTTTCTATATTTTAAGATATTTCAAAGTGTTCATTATTCCAGTGATTGCGAAATGAAAATCTTTGTTCTTAGGACTAAATAAAAAGAAGTTTTAAAGCAATTGTGTTGGTCTTTAACATTTAGAAATTCACAATATATCTTATTTTTGAGTATATCAAACACAGCAGATTTAGTATATTTATTATCCAAATCTCGATACAAAAGGAATTCTGCATTAGTTTAAATTGAAAAATACGTAAAAGAGCAAAAAATCAAGAATACAAGTTCAAGTTTAGAGAGCAGTCTTATTGTTATCTCTAAGTTAAACTGCGAGCTGGGATGGATGATTCCTGATAAAAAAAAATTTAAATATCCAATTGAAAAAAACTGCTCAAGATATAACTTCTCTTTTTGGAGAAACTTCGCTGACTCATGAGTTGAGACCTTAGGTGTAAACTTCACTTATTTTAAAATAAATGTGAAATTCTAATCATTTTTAATTTTCAGATATATGGAATCGCTACTGGATCTTCGTAATTCCTGATCACATTTAGAATAAATACTTATAAAACAGTTCTTAAGACATTTAAAGTAGGTTATGCATCAGTAAGAAACTACTGAAATCCAAACTAAAAACACATTATTCTTCTTTGTAAACACATAAAAAGATATATTTTAGATTCAAAAAATGCTGTGATGTCTGTGTGAGTCAAAGAAAGTTATTCTATCTTGCACAAGCTCTTAGATTGCCAATTTTTTTTATTTGCTGAAATATTTTAAGATGCCTTCTATTGAAATATAATCCCCTTAGTTTTATGAGGCAGCAGGGCAGAGGAAAAAAATTAATGAATCATGCATGTTGGAAAAAAAATATCCAAACACAAATTAACAATGACTAACTAACTTTCTCTCCCACAAAATATAATGATAATAATAAATAAAAATAAAGATAAACCTGCCAAAAAAAATGCATACGTAAAAAATAAGAAAAAGGTAGAATTTCGAAACAAAATCATAGCTCTTAATCTTCTGATATATCCACGTATGTTTATATTAAGCATGAGATATTTAATGCTGCTTATAATGTACTAAATCATGGCAAATAGTAACAGAAATATTATTCCAGTATTCTATCGCGGCAACCATAAATTCGACCACAGAATAAAAATTTTTTTATGTATTTATAGGTCAGGGAAAATTACAGTCCAAACCTCGACAAGCATCCTTTTATGCAAAAATCACTACTATATAAATTATGCGATGTAAATGAGACGCTTTTCTGCACGCTTAATTTTAGAAAATATGATTTGGCAATAAATAAATTCTTAGAATTTCAAGAGGGTGGGTAGTCTCTATGTGGCAAGACAGTTAAATGTTTTATACTGCAAAAGTACATTTACTTAAGTCATTAGTCGTCCAAATAAGCAAATATATGCCAAGCGGAGTTCTTACTGAAGTTTTCACTTACTCCCTTATAAAAAAAACTTAAATTTCAATATGTTTTTGTATCTAACTTGTATTTCTTATAAAACTTTAATACATTTAAATCCCAAGTAAATTTCAACCCAAAATCTTTAAAATAAATTAAATTGAATTAGCAGACATTTAAAATTGATAACTAGATAAGATTACCACGAATGTCGGTTCTTGAAAGTTTCATACATATATGTATAGTAGTTTGGTATGCTTTAACGTAGGATTTTTATTAAATAATCCATTTAGAATGTTTTACATTTTTTTTTTAGATCAATACAAAAAATGTGTGCCAAGTGCAGTAAATTTGAAGTTTGGAATACCAGTTTTGTATTAAACACAATTTGCTTTTGTAAATGTAATATTATATTAAAATAAACACTTCACTGAATTACAAATTTTTTACTGAAACCATGTTCCCCAAAAACCATGTTACCAAAATGGTTTTTGGGAATTGATGTACTAGAATTAAAAGAAACCCTTTTTTATTAAATTGTTAGTAAAAATTAGACTTTCCAAAAAATCAAATTTACGAATAAATATTAAAATTTTTTACATTTTCCTTATACTAAATATCTAGTACTTTCATCTAATATCTTAACATCTAATGATTCTTTTTTACAAAATTGCAGGCCCTACTACACCTATGAAAGTTTCAACAAAACAACCTTTGAAATCCTCAACAGCAAGTAAGTAAAATTGGCAGATTGGAAAATTTCAAAGCAATCGCACATGCTACACTCTATTATAAAATTGAAATAAAATGGAATAAAAACGTAACATATATTACGTAACATAAATTACACCCCTTTACACAATATACATTAAACTGATTTTCAAAACACAATACCTGATATCTTTTAATTACTATATTGAAGGGCCTAAAATTTCTCTGAAAGTTTCAACAGAACAACCTTTAAAATCTTCTACAAGTTAGTAAAAAAGAAACAATTTGAAAGTTTCTCATAAATTACACTTACACATCAAAGAATAAATATAAAATGAAAAAAAAAAAGAACGGAATGACAACTTGACTTATATGTATTGCATCTTAAAACAGTTAATAAAAACTGGTTTTCATAGTACAATATCTAATATATTTTATTTACTAAATAGCAAGCCCTACTAATACCTTGAAAGCTTAAACAGAACCACCGTTAATATCTTCAAAACTGGTGAAAACAAATGGAAAAGTTTAGAAATTTTACAAAACATTACATATTCCATAACCTATTATTAGGTTAAAAACGAAGAATGAATTAAAAACGTAACTTATATGCATTGCATTCCTAAATAAGTTAGCACAAACTGGTTTTTAAAAAACAATACCTTATATTTTTCATTTACCAATTCACAGGTCCTACTACTACCTTGAAAGTTTCAACCGAACAAATTTTGAAATCTTCAACAACAAGTAAGTAGAAATAATAAAGATTAGAATGTTTCAAACAAAATATACTTTCCATATCCTATTATAAAATAAAAACAAGGAATAAAATAAGAAAGTTACTTATATGTTGAACATCCCTAAATAAGATAACGTAAAGTGATTTTTAAAACACACTATATAATTCAATATTATTATTTACTAATTCGCAGGTCCTACTTCTACCTTGAAAGTTTCAACAGAACAACTTTTGAAATCTTCAACATCAAGTAAGTAGAAATGAAAAAAATTAGAATGTTTGAAAGAAACTATACTGTCCATATTCTAGAATAAATTGAAAACGTGACTTACATGTATTAGATCTCAGAATTAGATAACGTAAACTGATTTTTAAAACACACTTTATATTATTTATTAATTCGCAGGTCCTACTTCTACCCTGAAAGTTTCAACAGAACAACTTTTGAAATCTTCAACATCAAGTAAGTAGAAATGACAGAGATTAGAATGTTTCAAAGAAATTGCACATTCTATGTCCTATTATAAAGTGAAAACAAAGAATAAAATTAAACTTGATTTGCATGTTTTGCATCTCAAAATTAGCTAATGGGAAATTATTTTTTAAGCACAATGTATATTATTTATCATTTATTAATTCACAGGTCCTACTTCTACCTTGAAAGTTTCAACAGAACTACCCTTGAAATCTTCAACATCAAGTAAGTAGAATCGACAAAGATTAGAATGTTTTAAAGAAACTATACAGTCCCTATTCTATTATAAAATGAAAACAAAGAATAAATTGAAAACTCGAATTATATGTATTAGATCTCTAAATTAGATAACGTAAAATGATTTTTAGGACCCACTATATATTATTTATTATTTACTAATTCGCAGGATCTACTTCTACTTTGAAAGTTTCAACAGAACAACCTTTGAGATCGTCAACAAGTAAGTAGATATGACAAATATTACAATGTTTTAAAGAAACTATACGGTCAATATTCTATTATAAAATGAAAAAAAAAGGAATAAATTGAAAACGTGACTTACTTACAAGTATTAGATCTCTAAATAAGATAACGCAAACTGATTTTAAAAACACACTATATATTATTTATTGTTTAATAATTCGCAGGTCCTACTTCTACCTTGAAAGTTTCAACAGAACAATTTTTGAAATCTTCAACATCAAGTAAGTAGAAATGACAAAGATTAGAATGTTTCAAAGAAACTGCACATTCAATATCCTATTAGAAAATGAAAACAAAGAATAAAATGAAACTTGATTTACATGTTTTACATCTCTAAATGAGCTAACGTAAACTGATATTTAAAACACATAATATAATTATTGTTATTTACTAATTTGTAGTTCCTACTTCTACTTTGAAAGTTTCAACAGAACAGCCTTTGAAATCTTCATCATCAAGTAAGTAGAAATGACAAAGATTAGAATGTTTCAAAGAAACTGTACATTCTATATCCTATTATAAAATGAAAACAAAGAATAAAATGAAACTTGATTTACATGTTTTGCATCTCAAAATAAGCTAACGTAAAATTATTTTTAAAGCACACTATATATTATTTTTCATTTATGAATTTATTTATTATTATTTACTGATTCGCAGGTCCTACTTCTACCTTGAAAGTTTCAACGGGACAGCCTTTGAAATCTTCAACAGCAAGTAAGTAGACGCAACAAAGATAAAAAGTTTCAAAGAAATTACTCATTCCATATCCAACTATAAAAGGAAAACAAAGAATGAAATTAAAATTTGACCTGTTGGTAATTTTATTGAATGAATGTAATGTAATTTTGCTTGTCCTTTTCACAAAGATATTTTCTAGATATATTTCTTTTACTTCATTTACAAACCTTAGAAATGAGTATGGCGAAAGTTGAAAGGCTTGGTAAAACGGCTGAATACTAGCTGATNGAGGATTAGAATCTTTATCAAAATTGAAAACAAGGAGAAAAAAATCAACAGAAGATAGGTTATACAAAGCGCACTTACTTGTTAGGGATAATTGTCAAATTAACGTCCGCCATTGATTGATTTCTCATGTGCTTCTCTCTCCAAACTCTCCTTCCAAAACTAAGGATGATAATGCGCATGCGCTGCACTGTGCCCCTGGAAACAAACTTCTCCGCCATACACGAAGCGCTGGCATTGTGCCAAATTTTGTTACGACTTTCGCGAGTTTCCCATCTTTACACTTGGGGTCACCGGTCAGTTCTGTATAAAATATTTTCAGAGATAAATGAACCGAGGGTTAGAATTTTATTACTAAAGTTAGTTTCTTGGTTCTTCTTTTTTGGCAAAAGAAATGTGTGTCTCAGAAAAAAAAAGAACTTCAATAAATGCAAATTTTATGTTTGGATCTAGAATGTTTATCACATAATTTAAATTTGTTGCAAAAGTATAACTATGTGATTCATGGCGTGTTTCTTGATATAAATTATTTTCATAGCTTGTTCTTCTACTGTATTGTATCGAAAAACTGAGAAAAAGTTTGAGAGTAAATTTTAGTAAATTTTGCCAATAATTTTTATGCTACAAAGTTTTCAAAAAAAACAACATTTGTGCTAGAAAATAATTTCTTTTTAGTTACTGAAACAAAAAAAAATTAAAGATTATAAAATTTAATGAAGTATATAACAATTGCAACCGACGTTCATGAATAGGAAAAATATCTCCATTCACATTTTTGTCAGAAATCTTATAAATTTTGTACAAGCTATGTTGTGTAATAATTTGTAAGTCTGAAAGTTACTTATACATTTAAGCACAAAAGTAAAAGCATATTTAGTGTCTAGTAATGTATTTTGGCAAAAAATATACATATTCCAGCATCAAGATATAAAATTTATTTTTAAAAAATTTACTTATATTTAGCATGCTATCTAATCTGATACAAAGTGGCATTTAAGCAAAAACCTGTTCCAGTTTCAAGTTATCAGGAAAACTATTTATTCTAAGGTCAAGATAAATTTAAGAAAATATCTATTCTCAGGTCAAGATATATTAAAATGATGTTTAATACATAAACGTATTTAGCTAAATATGAATCTTGATAATGAGCTCAAAGTAATTTCCTTGCTTTTTTCAAAGTTATTATCTTGATAATGTTGATTTCTTAAAGCTATCTTGCTTATATGCTTCAGCAAAGCTTATCAAGAATTTTTATTACAGTTGACTCATGCAACTCAAATCCTTGCAAATACGGAGGCACTTGCGTGAATAATGGACAGGACTACAACTGTATCTGCTCGTATGGCTTTATGGGAAAAGACTGCGAAAATTGCAAATTAGAATGTGGAGGTGCTGCATGCGGCTATGATTTAATTTTAAAAGAAGGATACTGCAAATGCAAAGAAAACCAGCGCTTTGATATTGCAAAGAAAGCGTGCATAAGTAAGATGTAGTAAAAATAATTAAATTAGTACCTTTATTCATATAATATTCAGCACATTCCATCAAATTATGGGAAATAAATACCAAGGCAGTTTTCTAAAATAAATTAGTAAAATGTTAATTATGACATGGTTACCTTTTTTCAGAATAAAGAAAGAATTCTAAGATTTATAAGGAGAGTGAAAATTGCTTAAATAAATGAGGGCATAATAATTAGCGAAGCCAATTTCATAAATTAAAATCTATTTTCCGTATAACGTTGAGATGAAAGTTCTTTCTCGCAGAAATGTGAAAAAAATGCATTTAATTTATGGTGGAAATAAAGTTCCTCTAGAAAAAGATGTTAGAGAAAAACATCTGTCTCTCAGAACAAAAAATAGTGCGTGGAGTCCCTCCGCGCGTAAAAGTGAAAAAAGGAAGGGGTAGAAATTGATTTTTAGTGAAATCATATTGTTTCTTTAAGGCAAACTTTATTAACAATGCTTACAACTCACAATTGATCGCATCTTCTAATTATCATTTTCGAGTTTAGAAATAGCCAAATCTATAACATTTACAATGGGATTATGATAACTAAAGTAAGATACGAAATGTTTGAGTTCTATTTTTTCAATATTTCTTGCAAAAACTGCATCAATGGTAGTTACCCGTTTGGTTGTTGGAACATTCTTACCATTTATCATTTCCAATCCAAATTTGTCTATAAGGAAGGTTAATAATGCTTCAGGTAACGAGAAATTCACATTAAAATCTCCTGCAAGGATCACAGGCCGCTCACAATAATCAATTTTTTCACCAGTAACGTCTGCCAGAGCTAGTGAACCTGCAGTGGATAGTGGCAATAAAGATTTTGCAATAAATAATTTAATATCCTTCATGGCTGCATTTGGTGAAATATAAATGGCAATTAGAAAAGAGAAAACCTAACAATGAATTGATATTCACAAGAGACGTACCTTGACATAACCTTAAATCCGTCGCATTGTCCGTGGGATTGGTTTCACTCATTTTTTACAATTGTTATCCGCTAAGTTTGAAAATAAAAAATACTATCCTATTAAATTATATGTGTATCTAATCAAACTAAAATATTTATAGAAAAACAATACTTTTATGACTTTTATTATTTTTATGCTAGTGAGAACCAAAACAGTACGGAAATGAATGAGGGAAAACTGGATCCTACCATGTGATTTCGCGGCCAAAAAAAATGTAGCGGTAAACGTTTAACGCAACCTTGTTGGAAGTCACATAAGAAGTATCATTTCAATAAATCTAATTTGACATAAATCACCAAATACAATTTTTATCTGGTAAAAAGGCGGCAAAAGCAAAAAATTAATTAATTGAATCTTATTAAAATAAATAAATCATGCATTGTTTGCTTATTGATACTCGTATATTTTAGTCTAGAATTATGAATATGATGTTGATTTTAAACTTAAGTTTTAGGAATATGAAACACAAACTCTCAGTTAAACCAATGTTTTCTCCAAATTATGTACATTATGTTTTGATTTATTTACATTTCAATGCTACTTGAAGCCTACATTTGGAATATATAAAAAATAGATTTTAACTGCAATCACAATTATTAATTTCATTGTTTAGAGACACACGTTTTTATGTAAATTATACTAACATAAACAAGTAAAATGCGAGATCAAAACGGTAAAAGAATGAAAAGAAACATATATGTGAATTAGGCAGTATACATAGAGGTTAAAAATTAGATTAAAAGATTAAAGCAACGATAACATGTTTCTAGCCAATCTTCGTTGATAAAACACATATTTCTCTTGAGTTAATTATTTAGCATTGCCAAAACCTATGAGAGAACTTTCATTTTTTAAATTGCCTTCATAAATCAATAAGCATAGTCATAACACAATTCTGGAACAGTTTGTTTTGTATATGAACTGTTCGCTTGCAATCTGTCATTTCCGACTAACATATAATTTCGTTTGTCTGAGCTTTTTGTATCCAACACAAAAAGGAAAATATAAGTTTTGGGGACAATAAACGCCTTAATGTTTTATAAAATATGAGCAACACAAATGTAAAATATTTTTCTTGCAATATATGAGTGTTGTTTAATTAATTTTTAAGTATTTGAAAAATTTCAATTCAGTACACCCAATGTATTAGTTGTAGTACTTTAATGCATTTATAAAGATGTGTTATGTCTCATATATATTTAAAATATTGCTTTCATTATATTTCAATCTTTTATACAATAGATCTAGATAAATGTGAACAGAAATTTCTGAATGGAGAATGTCGGAAGGTTCACGAAATTTGTGTAAAAGGAACGTGCAAATGCGAAGACAATTTCTCATATAATAAAGACAAAACATGTAGAGGTAAGCATATATCTATATTTTAAATGTAAATCCTCTTGAAAATATTTTTCACTATATAACATAAAAATATTATATTTTTCGAACAGCAATAACGAAAAATAAAAAATAATACACTATTTAAGAAATTCTAAAAACAACACTCAATAAAATGCAAAGGGATTTGAAAGATCTCTACTTTAGCTCCATGGAATATACACTTACGAAATGTCGATATTTATTTTTACTATGAACTTGAAGTAACGTTACGCACTTTTTTAATCTATAATGCATGCGTAGGTCATACAAAAACGTCACATAATTATTTTAGACATAAAAATTAATAGACCTTAAAGTCAGGTACTGTATAGAATCATTAAAAAAGCAACTTACATTTCTATAAAAATATACAATAATCAGTAAAAAAATTATTTCAGCAATAAAAAATATCTAAACTTAAAAATCATAACGAGACATTGATAAACAAAATTCATGTATGAAAATAATGACAAACCACCATTATTAATAGTTAATTATAATTGGAAAATGAATAAACGGCAGCCATTTCAGAATTTTTCTCATCAACAGAAATCAATATTTAGAATATCAATATATAGTTGGGTAATCATTCAATATATAGCTAGGAGTATCAATATATAGTTAGGTTACAATTCGTTTTTCTTTCCCCAGCCAAAAGACAACAAACTTCGCCAAAGTACAGCGAATTGTTTATGTTCAAATTAGAACTTTAATTATAAAACTGTAATTCATTTCTAATACGTTTACAAATTTTTTTACAAGCAATACTTTCTTAGGGAGAAAACTAATATTTTCTCAAGACATTTATGATCTATTCGGCATATAATAGCATAAATAACTTGATGAAAGTATCAAGTAAAGCTATCGTAATTTGTAAAATCGAATTATTCCACAAAATAAATTATTTTTTAACATTGTATTTGTGCATAAAAGATACTTTGAACAGTTTAGAATAATTTTGAAAACAAAGGGGGGAATGTACACGAAATTATGAGATCCCGCTCGATATAAATACCTTATCGATCACTCCAAAGTCTACGAGAAAAAGTTTCTTTTGTTCTGTTTGGGTAAATTTTGACTCTCGACCAATCAGAAAATGTTACACATATGTCTTCACTTTCTAACGAAGTTAGATGGAAGTAACTCCAGGTTTATATGAACCTAGTGTTAAATTCGTATCCGCCAACCATCACTTATATTCGAACCCGGGTCACCTAATTAAGAGGCGAGTGGACACTCCTCTGAGCCACCACCACTGTCCAAATTTGTAGAGAGATCAATTTAATGTCCAACGTCATGTGCAACGTTTATGGATTCCGGATCTGTCGGAAGAAAGCCTGGCAAAGTCGGTCATAAGACACAGCAGTAAGCGAAGATCAGTATTTGTGGATTGCTGTCAGGCTTGACATGGATGCTACAGATTCTCAGCTCTCTCTCTTTCTCTCTCTCTCTCTCTCTCTCTCTCTGAACCTCTATATGAACACAAGAAGTCGAGTTTCTGATAAGTTTAATATTAAGAATTAGCTAATAAGCTTAAAATTTCTAAACTACTGTAAAAATATTGAGTATTTTTCGTTTATTTCAGCTGATTTCTGCAAAAATAAAATCTGTAAAGAGAACGAGGTTTGCAAGGAGACACCTAACGGGGATGCAATATGTGTATGCAAAGATGGTTTCCACTTGAATGACAAAGGCTGTGAAAAAAGTAAGTCGAACCAGATTGAAAATTAATCTGGAAATTTAATGTTTTCAAAATTATGTTTTCTATAATGGAACTTATAGATAGAACTGAAATAACAAAATATAGATAACTAACAGAAACCTCATGGCACCGACTTCACCTAGCTACTAAAATTCATCACTAAATTTTTAGACAGCAAATTCTTTTTCGGTGAGATAAGAAACAATTGAATCGATGAATCCGAAAACCTGTCATCTCCACTTTTTTCCAAAATTGAGGTTCTTGAATTAAGTTTAGCTGACGTAGATACATAGTAAATATATAAAAAAATCATGTCTCCCTACTTTCCTACCTGGTAAAGTATATTTTGTGCAGTTAAATCTCAATTTAGTTCAAAAACAGGCCATATCCTGGAGATGACCTGTTCTCAGAATAAACTTCGCCAAATGGCTGCCGTTGTTGCAAGTGAAATTGTTCTCATAACCTAACAATTAGTTACTCAGATTAGGCTTTCTATATTACATGATGCTTTTTTATCACGCAATTCACTGGATAGTTCTCTAAATGGTATATGCAAGAACATAAAGAGGGATAAAAGTAACTACGGAATGTAAAGGAAGTCAGTAAAAAGCTGCTGGGCAAGGCATTTTAAGAAAAATGTGTTACCAAAATGCTACTATGGAAAAGTAAGAAAGAAGAAACAACAGCTTCAGGTGTCTCATCATAAAAATTTTTCTTATAAAAACTTTAGATATGGTGAAGTTTAAGTACCTCCGCTCAGTGCTGGTTAATGCAAATTAGTATTTACTCAGTATAAGAAAGTATCTTAAGAGTAGCACCATAACCATTTTGAAAAAAAAATGGTTTTGGAAAAGTTACCATAAACCTCAAGAAAATTGCAGGCATCAAATAATTTCTTACGACATAAATTAAACGAGATTTTGTTTTTCGATGAAAAAATGTGTACGTGGCCAAGCACAGCTAGTCATAACACGAAAAATTTTGGAATCTACATATATTTCCATGAATATGACTTAAATGTACAATCTTTATTTCATTTCTAAATGACAAATTATTAATATTTTCACTTGTAAATGCATACTATTTATTTTAAAGTTTTGTTCGAAAACCGATCACTCCAAGTTCAAATTATTGTTTTAAATTAAAAAACTAAGTGATGTTATCGCCCAATAGCAATAGAATATTCTGTAACCAGCCATATTGTAATATCAAAAAATATAATATGCGCTATATATGAAGCTGATACTTAACTATCCAATTTTTGTCGCTCCTGTAAAATAAGCTTTCTTGGAGATGACCTACATTCGAACTCATTGATTGAATTCATAAGCCTTGCATAATTCCCCTTATCAAAAAAAAATTTCCAAACTTTCAAATAAATCTTACTACCTTTCTTGTTACTATTTATAACTAATAATAAAAAGCGATTAAAAAAATTTATAAGCACTATGCTGCATATTGAAGAAAATCACTCTTGATAAATAATTCAGAATTATCAAAATTTTCCTTGATTTGACTTGTTGTTTCCTTGTTGTTACTTGTTGTTTGAGTGTTTCCTGTTCAATTAACTTTTAATCTAACTACCTTAACTTATTTGAAAGCATGAATTTCGTCAAAACATTTATACCATTGATTAAAAATGCAACATTAATGAATTGAGTGGAGAAAATGAGTTTTCTGTCAAGGTAGGAATTTAATCGTGAAATATTCCTAAGAAACCGTCTCACTAACCCCTGTACCATCCAGTCGTATGGCGAAAATAATTCTAAAATCAAATGAAACATTTTTTTTTGTAGAACTGCCGGAATGGACTGACACAGTGCACGAGTAAAGTAACATTCTTGTAAAGTCTATGTTTCGTTAAAAATGACTGTTGCAATGAAATGACTATTTAAAAAAAAGAATCACAGCTCAAGGATTGCTGAATCAACTAAAACAGGTCCCCATTCTCAAGACTTACCAGACTTGAATCAGGAGAAACAATAGTGATTTGAATGTTAAAATGAAAAGTTGCCAATGAAAAACGGAAAAATAGAAGATGAAACAGAACTAGAAAAATCACAATAGTTTGAGAGAGAAAATAAATGAAACCGCAGACATGAAAAACCTAAGAAGCCGAGAAGAGCAAATCAGGGTAAAATGTATTTTCTCGCCTTATGGTGAGGTGGGGAAGAACAAGTGTAGTTAACAAAGAATCAGAAACCGTATGTATAAAACAAGATTCCAATGCATCAAGATCGGCTGATGTGACTATAATAAAAAAATTTAGCATTGTCGATTTATGCTTAAGATTCCAACAATGTGCAGAAATTGATGATTTCTCAAGTTTGAAATTACAAAAATATCTATCTTGTTCCTTAAGTCTAAATTTTAAAGCACGTCTAGTTTGTCCGATGTAGCCAAGAACAGAAACTTGAAAGAACATAATAGATAGAAATTTTTCAAACTGTCACCTTGAAACTCAATTCAAGATTGTATTGTGTTTCTTCCTCATCATTTAAAGGCAGTAAGAATTACAACACGTTTTTTCCACTCATTCAAAACTACTTAACTGTTTTAACGGCAGAAAAAATTGACGGAAAAATCTTTCTTTCAAAAATGAGCATTTTATTTTTCTCATGTTTATTGATTGCTCATCTCTAGCAACGATACAAAGCGATTGGTTTAATCAGGTTATTGTATAAATTTATTTTAGTACTAATAGAGATGAATTTTGATTTTAATTCGTTCCTCGTACCGAAATAAGATGTATTTGTCATCAAAAGTCTACTCCTAACTTAAATATCTAGTTTATTCTCATTAAAAGCTGTTTTATTTTTCTCCACTTTTTCAATCAAGAAAAGAACTTAAATATTTTTTCAGACTTTTACTTAATGGGGATAAAAATTTAAAAACTGATATCATTCAAGTCCTAATTATTATTATTGTCCTAATTAAATTTTCAATTCCTGTAAAACTTTTTATGTAGCACTGAAGCACTAATGAAAAACTACTTACTAATTAATGAATAAGTTATTTAGCTAATGAAAAGAAACAATAGAAACTTTCAATTCAATAAATAATTGCATCTATAATGCTTAATAATGTAAAACTTTTATGTACTCAGGCTTCTATTTTATTTAGTTGATGAATGTGCACTTATGAACCCCAAATGCACTCAAAAATGTGATCAAGGAATCTGCTCATGTGAAGAAGGATTTGATCTGAAAAACGACAACTACACATGTAGTAAGTAAATTTTATATTCAACAAAAACAAAATTTAAGAATATTTTGGGATTTATTCTGGGATCTAAACGGCTTATAAAGTATTTTGTTTAAAATGTAATGAACAGAAGAATTTCCTTATTAGACAATTTAACTAAACCCTTTTCGGTCAATTGTTTTGTGAAAATATTTATTACGCTAGATTATTTTCTTTAACTGAAACTTTTTTGTTGCGTTTCTTGTTTTCTGAAAGTTATTAGTATCTTCTAAACGTGATTGTAAACTAGTGTATATAAAGGTTTCAAATTATCGATAAAGCTATGCTGTTAAGTATTAGAAGTTTATGGGATAATGAAAAATGAATATTACAGTTAATTAAATAATAGTTAATAAAAATTATTAAACATGCATTAATGAGAATAAAAAGGTTAGAGTTTAAAAATATTTAATCTATATAATCTTTTATATATCTTTATATATAATTTTTTATATATAATCTTTTAACAACAGCAGTACTTTTAAAAATCTAATAGTACTATATAACTTTCAATTTTTAATGACGAAAGCTCAGAAATATTATTATTCAACTATTCATTATTTATATTTATTTAATTTATAGAATATTTCACTTAAATAAATTAAATATTAAGAACATCAATTAATTAAGTACATGTAAAAGTTCTTTTTTAGTTCAAAAAATACAAAGGCATGCCCCACTTAAATTAGTAATAAAATTTTGATTACATTCCATAATAAGATACGTTATGTATTACTTTCAAGTTAGTAAAAATTTATTACCATTTAAATCAGTTCTAAGAAACTTTTTTGTCACTTATTACGTTCAAAGTTTTCAATCAATTAGTTAACAATTTTATTTCATTTACACAGAAATTAATCAAAACACTTCAGAATGTCAAAATGGAAGTAAATGTTTTCCTGGAATGTGCCAAGTCATAAATGGAACAGATATGTGTGTTTGCCCGGAAACAACTCATATTCACATTAACGGCACATGCACAGGTACAGTTATTTGCATTAATTGCTTATTTTTATTTCAGAATTAATGAAAGCTCAAACTGAAATAGTTTATGTAAGGGATTTCAATTTCGGTGAAAAAACATCTTTAAAACTACAATAAAGGATTGCAAAAATATATATACGAGAGTTGTTTTGAAGTAAGGGTCGTTTGAAAGCAAAAAACCAAGCGAAAGAAATTTTTTCAAGTAGCAAATTTTTTTTCAGATTCTACATACGCTTGGCTTCTCTTTTTTTCAGCTTAGTTGCCAAGTTTGTTTAAGCACTTATCATACCTTACAACTAAATTAAGAATAACCTCTTCATGCAAACTTGCCGCCTGAGGTCACATCCAAGAGGTCACAGCCGTTTCCCCGTATTCGTCATCGTTGTAGAGATTGCTGCAATAAAGATGTTTAAAATATCAGAAAAGAAGAAAACCACTCAGCCAAGGTCTGGGCTGCAAGGAGGGATGGTCAAACGCTCCCCAACCAAAAGAGTAAATAAAGCTGGGATATGTGAGATGCGGAAAGAATCATTGTCCTAGAGTAATAAAATTCCCTGTCAGCATGTTACACAGTTGCTTCTAAGGGATGCTGAGTTACAACACAAACACTTGTTGCGACGCTTGCGTAACCTATTAATGTACACAACAGAACGTCCCTTACACAGAAAACATTCCTTGTAGCAAGCAAAACATACGAATACATGAAAATGATTAATTTATAATTTACTTATATCTTCATAAAATCAAGTCTCTCAAGTGCTTATGGGAGAAGAACAAACTTCTTTTCATTAGAAAGAAAAGTTAATTTTTTAAATGAATAGATAATTTTTTACATTTTATTCTAGACTCAAAATTTCTAATTTTATAATTTAAAAAGTAAACTAACTTACGTTTGTAATTGAATTTTAAAAAGTTTCAACGTAAGCATATATTTTTTTCTGTATTTTTATTAGGTCATAATTTCAATTTTATTAAAGAACGTTTCAATATTACTTGCGTATTACAATATTCCTTGCGTGTTTTGATATTGATTTTCTTCATTTTTGACTTTTCGTCCAAAAGCGTGGTTTTGACCATCCATTTGAACTGCATGTAATTGACCAAATATTTATATTTCATTTTCTTCTTAATTGATATTTTCATTAGCAACATACGATTTTTTTCATTGATAATTTTCTTTTTTAAAATAACTCTTAATTCTTAAGAAACAATAAAAGAGCCTATTAGGATAAAGTACACTAAAATATAGAAAAAAAACTATTTGGATAAAATACTATGGTATAGTTTACTAAACTACTTCTAACAACTAATAAACTACTTCCTTGGAAAAGTATGGCTCATCATTATATTACGCGATGTATTTTAGTTTATAAAATTAAATACATTTTTTTTATGATTACCTTTCATTATTTCTACCTGTGGTCTGTCCTTAAATGTATTATAAATTATGCAAATTACCATCATTTCTTTTATATTACAGATAAATGCATAGCAAAGCAGATACCAGAAGGAATGTGCCCCCAAAATAAATGCAAATCAGATGAAAAATATGGATTTGTATGCATATGTGATGGAAAATACAAACAGACGGAAAACGGCATTTACTGCAAAAGTATGATAAATTATTTTTCATCAATGGATATCAATTACTTCAGTTTTTAAGTTTAATCAATTAATTTGCAATATCTTTAAGAGTTTTATTTTTTCTTCTTAACCTTGAGATTTTCTATGAAACTCTTTTAATTCGTAGAGTCACGTTCGTATACCACTACAATTATCCAAATCCAATTAATTGGTATATAAGACATGTTAATCCAATTCAATCTGCAGGTACCGGTGGTTAAATGACAGTTGTTCTGCCCTAGCCCCACATTGGTGACACGAGCGTGATCTGAACACACCTAGCTCAATTGAAACGCCCATTTTGATATGATCATGCTTACATTGATGGATGGAACACAGCAACAATTCACTTGCTATTTGTGATTTGTGACTACGATCCTTTTCTCATCGCGCTGTTGCTACTCAGTCCCGATTGCATGCAACAATAGAGTTGTACACAATCAACTGCTAAATAAAACACTTGAGTGACAACCCCCGCTACCGTGAACTCGAGCAAACAGCACTCAAAGTCCGGTGATCCTCTATCCGGTGCAGCTCTCCTGGCGACTCAAACAGCAAAGAATAAATTAGTGATATCCATTCATTGAATTCTATCCCAGGAAAAATTCTGATGGGGGACTACTGTAGCGTAGCTACCACTATATTTCACAAATATATAAGAAATGTTAACTCGATTCTATCTGGTGGTACCTTTAAATAGATTACGCTTGGCATTTTCGGAAGTCTAGCGACAAATTCATACTTTCCAACATTTGAGGCTTTTGAAAATTATTTTTTCCAGTGGAGTGGTAGTGAACCGAAGCAAAAGTTTTTGACACAATTTAAAATTTTATGAAGCTTTTTATCAAAGCTTAGAAAGACGACCATTTGTATGCTTGTCCCTTATTTTGTCTGTTTAAACTATTATTAGTGGATAAATTTCTCTGAAATCAAAATTATCAAAACATTGAAGCATTACCTATACTACTACTAGGAATATGAATTTCTGAAACTAAGGATATTGCGCTGTAGTAGTAGGGTGAGATTTTATTTTAAATTTAATTTGTATTTGTATTCTAATTTGTATTTGAACATATTTAACAGTAATTTCATTCAATATTATCTCAAAATAACAGATTTCTATTTTTCCCTTTAATGTTTTGATTTAGTTTTACGTCTTTATTATTTACTTTATTTCGCTAAACATTGTCGTAGGCTATTTTTTAAAAAATTCATAAATCAAAGTGCGTAATTAGGAAATCCTACCAGACTTAAATATGGATAAGAGACTATAAATTTTTTGAGTAAACTATAAATTTTCTTTGTTTTAAGTACTCACTCGAAATGCAATTATGATTTTGATTATTCTGTTGTATATGTTTCTGATCATTTTGTTGAATATGTTTTTATCATTCCGTTTGTTTCATCTAAGTTTTTGAGCTGAATTGTAAAGTATTTTGAGCTGAATTGTAAAGTATAACATAGTGACATCAAAACTATTTAATTACAGATTTTTAAAATCTGTCTAAAATTCTTTGCTTCATTTTATTTACCACTACCCTATTTAAAATAAAAATGATGCAGGAATAATCAGAATTAATGTGGATTAATTATATTATAATTTAGGTAAAATTAAAAACAATTCTGTTGCATTAAACATTCCAACATTGATGCAACCGCTTTATGTTATTTTTCTAATTAATAAAAAATCCTGAAAATGTCGCTTCATTCTTTAATGTCTTCGATTGTCTAAGGAAAAATATTTCCTTTCGTATTCTTGAAGAAAAATATAGAAGGATTTCATTTATACAAAGTCAAAGAGAGAGAAATAATATAAAAATTTAAATAATGAATGAAAAGTTCATTATATAAATCAGCGAAAATAGCCATAGCATTTAATAATGCTATTTTCGCTTCTGTTACCCTTTTCTATAAAAACACAATAATAAATTTATTATTGCAGGAAAAAATATGTGCATTGAAGGAGGAGGAAACACTGAATGCACCAAAAGAAAAGCATTCTGCAAAGAAGATGAGAATGAAAAAAAAGGCTATGTTTGTAAATGTGAAGAAGGTTTCGATTTTTACCAAAATGCATGCACACGTAAGTGTTCAACTCTTTAAAGCTCTTAATATCAAGTCTAACAAAATATAGTATTAGGGTAAAGAAAAATATTCGATAAATACTTTTCTAACACACCTTTCACCTGCACATCATTGAAATTTGAACTGCTTAAAACCGCAGAAATAAAACTCTCATTTTTTACAATTCAACAATCCTTGAGTTATGTTTCGTTAATTCTGGGAACTGTTTCGGCACGAAATCACGTGATATGAGATGAAAAGAGAATTCTTAATTGTATGTCGCAAATGTTTCAACTCAAAACCTTATTGTAGTGAATTTTGAAGGATTGTTAACTGAATTACTAAACAAGTATGAAGGTCTGATATATAGTGTTGAAATTAGTCATCTTGCTTGTGTGGTTGTCAAGGTATTGGCCTCTTACTATTGGCAATATAATCCCCGGTTCGAATCCCGCTTCGGGCATGGATGTCATTTACCTTGTTGTTCTATCTGTCTCTCTTGTGTTAAGTGACATTGATTTAGTTTTTTTGGTGCTAATGGTAAGTGGATTACTAGAGAATGCTGACACATTAGACAATACGAGATTTTTAATTAGGTAATGCGAGCATTTTCTATCATCGCTTTTATTTTGACGAAATTCGTTTACTCGTTGAAATGACGATAGTTATTTAGTCTCTTTAGCGAAATATTTGCTCGGAACTTATATTAACAAAAACGTTCGTTAAAAACGACGAAAGTTTCGTGAAATTTGAGCATCTATTTTTTACAGTGTAGAGGACACAAAAAAATAACCTTGCATCTTGCTACAAACTAACTCACAACCTCTGCTTTAGCTGAGTTCTTTTATCTGATGCAAGACAAACATATTCACATTTGATTTCCTTTAATAAAATAATTTTGAAGTTAGCATAGCAATGGAGCTATTCAAGGAGACATTTACTATGGTTTAGTATCGTTTGAAGAACTCAAAATTTAGGTTGATAATATAGATTTGTCAGCTTCAAACATAAAATGTGTGTTGATTTCTCCTGTTTTAGGTGGTAGGTCTTGAGGTTATGGGGGAAACGTTGGGCAATGGAAGCTAACCTCAAGAGAATATCAGTGCATGGTAAGGCGGGCAAGTATATGTGGGCTTTGGAATTTGACCTCTGTATAAGAACTAGTGTAGAGAATATTGGGAAAATATATACCGGACAATGGGACATATTTCACTACATTGCAGATATTCTGACGCGCATCGGTCACCATTTAACACGCGTACATCCGTCGGCCTGTGGGATACGAAGTCACTATCTCACAAACACAAGCCCAACGGCCTAGCCACCAAGCTATACCGGTCAAAGGACAAACTTACCATCGTTTTATGCAGTAATCATTTAATGGAGAAAAAAATTGTTTTACGTTAATACAATTTAATATAAAGTAGTGAACTAAGTAAAGTTGAATTTCATTTTTTCATATCCATATTCAATTTAATGTTATTTAGTCATGTTAATAATAGTACTGTTAATTAGTTATGTTAATAACTTTATTAGAATATTTTCATTATTATGACGCAATTACTTATCTCGTACAGTGGGAAATTTATTACAGCGTTATAATGCAATTTCTCCTCTTTTTACAGCTGTGTGTGACATAAAAGAAAACAAAGAAAAATGCTTACAAGTGTCTGGTGTGTGTGTTTTAGATGTAAATTATAAACCTTCATGTAGATGTCCACCATTGCTAGAAAAAGACAGTAAAGGTATCTGCGTTGAAAAAGGTATATAGAGTGTTGTTTCTCTTCATCTCACAATCTATACATGGAATGAATTCTCATTCGTAAATCTTCTAATAAAAATCAAACGCTATATACAGGCTGTTCATGGTTAAAATAATTTATTTCAAAATTGTTCAAAAAGATTAAATTTTTTTCATCAAACAAAAAGTTAGTTCACAATATCACCAGAAGACACTTTTAATTATCAAACTAAGCATTTAACTACTATAAAAAGTAGTATGGTATTGGTCTGGTGATAATTTGCACGAAATATTGTTTGGTGGAATATGTTAACCACTTGTACTGGGTAGAAATTAGTAGATGAGCTTCTCGACTTCTCAACTCAATTGACTGCAACTCATTAGGAAACATTAAAAGTTTGATGCTCAGTAAAAATTTGAACAAACTTATTAGTTTCTCTGAATACGAATCATAAACTTTTTATTATTTCAGTGATTATTTTATTGTTTCTGTGCGAAGCACTCAGGTTATGTCCGAGCTTTAAAATACTTTCTTTGATATTAGATAAAATGTTTATGATTATGAGTTATTGGATCTTTCAAAAAATCAAAAATAAAAATCATCATTGACTTAAGTCCAGGGTTGAAAGATTAAATAAGTTTATATTTCTGAAAATGTTTATTTTAATTTAATCCTTTTTTGGTGGCTAATTTATACTAAATTATAACTAATAAATTATAAATTATAATAAATTATAACTAATATTTTTAGAGAAAAAAATACCTATCTATTTATTATTCATTCGCAAAATTTCATAATTTTTCACCATAAATTATTTCAATTGTAGATAATTTTGGAATAGAGGCTTTTTCAGTTTGACAACCTGCACTTTCCTCAATAGGTGTTATTGTTAGTATAAGATGAATATATGAAGGCTTTAAATTTAAGAATCAGTGATTGAACACTACTCCAGTAATTTGTACCACAGCAGTCTTCATTTTTTCCCAATTTAATCCTTCTTTGGTTACAAAATAATTCGAAACTAGCATGTATTTAATCAAAAACTACTTATCACTTAATTAATCATTTACCAAATTTCAAAGATGACTTACTTCAGCTATAGACAAGTTCAAAATCGAGCCCTAAAATAGTGCGCTTTTCTTTTTACCTTTTATTGTTAACCTAAAGTCATTTAAGTCTAGAAATGAGGGGTTAAATAAATTTTCATTTATGTAGTTTTTTTCTTCAAAATATCTATCATTTTATTATTCATTCAAAAAAAATTCTTAATTTAACAGTAACTTACTTCAGTTAAAAACTACTTTGATATATAACCAAGTACTTTTGAACAATGTATTCTATTCTTTCCAAAAGCGTTTTTTTAATAGTCTAGTATAACTCTCAGAATAACTTTTAAAATTTTAATTATTGGTCTCCATCTTGATATCAAGACGGACGGAATTTCTATTGAACGGACCACTACTTTCATTTTTATTTTCTGCTGAAGCTCAGTTAACTGTTAAACAAGTCGAAGTAGCAAAATATTTTGTTTATATTTTTTACATGTTATTACATATTTAATTTTGATTTTGCAGTGAAACACTCCTTTATTGGAAGTATTAAGATTCCTAAAACAATTTATGGCATCAACTTGAATACTCTGAAATTAAAAGAAAATGAACAAATTCCTAACTTTAATCACTCCAAAATAACTCAAGATTTTATTAAGTCGGTAAGTATTTTTTACCTATTGATGAACTTAACTAATTAATCTACTGTTTTCCTTGACTTCAATAAAACATACAAATATTTATTTAAAATTGCACTTCTAATTTTTTGTTTACTTTCAAAACGTTTTAACCCTTTCTGATGTAGTATATCGGATGTGGGGAATTTTATCCAAGAATATTACAAAATATACTATTAAAGTCATCGTGGCTCAGGAGATAGCTCGTTTGCCTCCCAATGAGGTGACCAGGTTCGAATCCCAGTGATGGCCAGTCAATAATAATTCAACACGCGGCTCGCACGACCACAGTGCTGACGTAAAAATATCGTTATTGGTAGACGGATCATAAGTTAGGCCCCCCTTGCGTAAGCCTAACCAAAGGAAGCCTTTGTGGTTTCCCTCTCCATGTTACGCAAATGCGGGGTAGTTCTATCCAAAACTTCTCCGCGAAGGCAAATTTCTCCCAATACTTGATTCAAGTCTTTTGGATTGGGTTCAAAATTAAAATGATAAGGAGTTGATCATTGTTCCACGACGGTTTTAAGTTTATAAAGTAAAAAACTCTGTTATAATGTAAAAATTATTTACTTCTAAATACCAACTCTTTCATAGCAAACAACTTATTCTTTAAACCACATAAAACGCAAATATGTCATTTCAACTCGAATGCACGCTCTACCTATGGTTGTATTAATATTTGCTTCCTTTACGTATTATTAAAGAAGGATTATTTAATATTGCATAAATAGTATTTTGCAAGCACTTGGTCTGATTCAACTGAATGTATAGTGTAATGAGAAAAAAAGATGTATGTTATTTATATTTTTTGGTTTTGATTAGCGTCTTCAAACTTTTCGACGTTGAATTGTCCCGTAAAGGTAGTTTTTATTTCAGAGAATCGTCACTATAAAATTATGTGTTGTAAGTAAGAGTCATATAAAAATTATATTATAAATGTATGCGCCCATATATATGTTTTTAAAAAAACATGTCAAAATGAAAAAATGATGTCAGTAAATTTATGATTGAGTGTTTTGATAATATTTCCATTTTAACTTTTCACTTCTTTCCTATTATGATATTTCATAACGATCTTAATTGAGATACGCACCAGAATTCTCCAAAAGAACTTATTAAAAACAATAAATTCGAAGGGTAGGTACTCTTTTGTTTCTTTTAAGAACTAAAGCTGCAAATTTATGTCATTGTTAATGCAAATTTATGTTCCTATGTATAATTATGGCTTATTATGAAATAATGACAGACTACAAAAAGTATGACAAAATTAAAATAGTTAAGAAATAACTAAAAAATAAGCTGTTATTAATTTTATTATTCAGTGTTTACATTTTACATTTTAACTCCATACTTCTGTCTTCTTATAATATTTTGAAATGACTTTAATTCAGGGGTGTACCAGAATGCTCCTAGAAACTTATTAAAAACAATAACTTTGAAGGATACTATTTTATATCTTCTATGAATTAAAACTGTAAATTTATGTCCATATATATATATATTCATGGCTTATTACGAAATAATGACAAACAACAAAAAATATGACAAAAGGAAGAAGGAAAAAATTTTGGCATATTCATGATCGAGTGCTTTGATAATATTTCCATTTGAATCCATTTTTCTTTCTTATTATAATATTTTGCAACAAACATTATTTGAGTTATATAGCAGAATTCTCCTAGAAACTTGTTAAAAACGATAAATGTGAAGGATGCTTTTTTGTATCTTAAATCTGTGACATAGATTTCATTCACTATAGTGTATTTTTTTAATAATATGTTAATTACGAATTCATGATCACTTGGTCGAATGCCTCTAACAATTACAAGAATTTAATAATAGCAAATTAGTAATGCTATTAAATATGCAACTTAATTTTTATTATATTTTTCTGTATTCTTAAGTGATTTCTGTGTCAATAATTCTTCCTGAACCATGTTAAAAATAATAACTTGCTAACTGCTCATTTATTTCTTCAAAGAATAATATATATTTAAAATTCGACTTGTATTTGATGATTTTCTCCTATGTCTTTTCTTTCTTTTAATAGTATGCACTGATTAAGAACAATAGTCCCTTCGTGTCAAATTCGTGTAATAAAAATAAGCAAATGAAGATTGTAGCAAAAATAGGCATGCCAGGTATTTTTCTTGTGTCCTCCTATAAGAAATTCTCACATTTATTTAGTACTTATTTATCATATTAAACCTAAAATCATCTATGTAGTTTGATTTTTAATTCCGCTAAAATTTTTACATTAATGAATGCTATGATGTAATTTTTTTAAAAGACAAAATTTAGCAATTTCTAATTACACATTAATTTTGTTTTTAGTTGGAAGGTGTGTATGGTAAGAACTACAAAGATGTTTCAATTATCTCGTGCAGGTAATTAATTTTTGAAAATATTTTTTCTTAATAGAAGTAGCAATTATTTATAGAAGTTTTAAAAACATGTTTGTAGATTCTTTATTAAGAATAAAGCTGATTTTCATCTAAACTACTTTAAAAAATTTAAAAATACTTGCAATCAAATATATGATATATAACCACAAATTTTGGAGACAGCGGGAGCAACTGAGGTACACTTATCAACTTCTTACTTTAGTGTTATGGTTAGAAAATTATTTTTCCTCAAAATTGTCGTTAAGAAAATTTTTAAAATTTATAGATTACATATAAAAAAATATAAAAATCGTTTGCTTAAACTTCGAGGTTAAGAAGAAGACATTTGAGACATTTTAAACTCCCATTATTCCTTCATTGTTTAACAATTTAGTTTAATTTAAAACCACTAATTATAAGTAAAAATATGACAGTAACATACAGAGTGCCAATAAATAACAGAAATATCCTGAGTTACGTTTGATGTAATGATCAGATTTTCAAGTGTTTTAACTTTGCATAAGGATTTATGGAGTATACCTGAAATTTACTACTAAATAGTGCAGTTGTATTTTAAGTTACAAAATCAAACACAAAAATGCAATTTCTTTAAAGAAATATATACCTTTTGAGCGATGGATTTTAAATTTTTGACCCTCAAAATATAGGGAAAGACCGCAATCTGGAAAATATGGTTCGAAGAGTTTTATTATGAGAGCGGTACCAAATTTGGACTCTAAATGTCAATTTTACTTTTTGCGTATTTTGCCATATCTCAAGGACTTTTTATCGAATCGAAAGGCTTTTGCACAAAATTATAAAATTTGTTTAATCAAAGATAATTACATGCAAAATATTATTTGTAATGCAAATTGCATGCAAAGTAATTTTTAAATTTTAATAATTTTATATTATTATTTATTAATATAAGTAATTATAGTCGAAAACATTTCGAATCATGAGGAATACAAATTTTACATAATTTTTAAAGAATGTAAATTTCTATGGCAAAGGAAAATTTTTAAGGAAAATCATTCGAATAATTTTTGAGAAATTATATTTTGATAAATTATCTGTTTAAATTTCGATTAAAGAAATTATTTGACCTATTTTGTTCAGATTTTATATTTTGCTATGTAAAATTATTCTTTTTAAAATGATGTAAAAATATTTAGATCTTACCATTCATTCGGCTATTATTAAATAAATCAAAAAAAAATGGAATATATTTATTAAAAAATATTTTGTAATGGAATTATCTTCGGATAAACAAATTTTAGAGTATTGTGCAAAACTATTTCGATTTGCTTACAACTTTCGCGTGTATAACAAAATGCGCAAAAAGTCAAAATAACATTAAAGGGTTAAAGGGTCTAAGCTTTCAAATGCTCTCCTGGCCAAACTGTTGATACTATATTTTCCAAATTGCCCCCCCCCCCAATAACTTGAAGGCCAGCGATTCATACCAGTCTGCAAAAAAAAGCATTTTTATTCAGAAAAAGTACGTAACTTGAAATACCATGTCTGCACTAATTAATTAGCACATGTTTGCCCACTCACTCTAACCATTAAACCATTAGGATTGAGTCCTAGCTCGTGAAAGTCGTATCATTAGATCAAGAAATATTCAGGGTGCTCGTTATTTTTTTTTCTTTTTACACACTGTACTTTTTTTAAAAAAATTAAGTGGGTGAAAATAGAAAAATTTATCGAATCTAGATCGCCACTGAGAGGTGATACTTAAAATCAATTTCTCGGTATTGATTATACTCAAGCTATGCTTCAGCAAATGTTTTTTTTCTTTCAAATATTTTGAAAAACAAATTAAATTAAGTAGCTTTAATCGAGATAAAATAGCCATAAGGAAAAGATGAATTCAGTCCCACAATTTTCTCAGAATAGTAAACTTCATTTTAAACTACCTTAGTGTCTCGACATTAATTTTGATTAAAACTCAGTTCAGTCAAAATGAGTAAAAAATATCTTTTTTTTAACTTTTGGAATTACGAGTCAAATTTTAGAAAAGAGAATTGGGCAGATGATAAAAAATAAAGTAGTATAATTATAAAAAATTAAATGAATACGCGGGTAATACTTCAAAAAATTTGATATTCAAGGAAATAGAGACGAATTTATGAAATTCGTTGCGTTAATGCAATTAATAAACACAATGCTGACTATCATTAATAGATTTAGACATTAAACGGAATTAAATAGATTTTGGAAACTCTTTTAACGGATGTTACGTGAAGCAATTAGTTTTTATATTAATAACGGCAAAGAAGAAATATTTAAAATGTATTTCGAAGGGACAGATGTGATAAAGAACGAAGTTAAAAATATCGAATAAAAGAAATTTGCCTAATTCTAGCAAGGTTTATGTTCTCAACGTATGTGCTTTTTAAATTAGCTTTTTGAGTAATTATAATGTATAAATACTGTAAAAAATAACTCTAAGTTTTACAGTAAAAACAAAACATTTTTTTTTAACCAGAGATAAAAAAAAAGATAAAGAGGTAAAGTTTAGAGATAAAGTTTTTTTTCCTGCTATTACCATTATCCATTCGCTGCAAATAATTCTTTTTTTTTTAAATCGAACAAATTTTTTACGGTAATCTTCAATATAAAATAGCATATAGAAGGTATGGACGACTAATGAAAATATTTTTACCTCTAATCTGATTTGGATGCAAAGAGCTTTTATTCAAAAAATTTCGAATATGTCTTCGAACAGAAAGTAGTGCGAAATTAACTGAATGACAACTTTTTTCAATGAATTATGAAAATATAAAAAAGCTAAAGGAAAAATGTGGGGCACATTTTCAATCTTACCATTTAGCAACAAAATATGTACAACATACATTTAGCAAGCTTTGTAATTACAATTTAAAATTTATTTGTAATTTCATCGAAAATTTATTTTAAAATTTATTTGTAATTACATTGAAAATCTATTTTAAAGAAATTGAAAACTGACAGAGGTAATATTCAACGTTTTCAAATTATCCTGTTAGTTATAATATTTATGATACATTAGAATATAATGCTTTTATAAATTACTAGTGGAAAACTTTAAGATTTTTTCTTTTAAAAGACGTAAAAAATAATAAAATTAAGGTAAAGGAAACAAATATTACATTTTTGTGAAGAATAACTCATACGTCGTTTGTACTTTCGAATTTAATTTAATTTCGATTTGTACATTTTTGTTTTAAAAAATAATAAATGGTTGTATTTTCTTAATTCTATTTACTGTAATTTTTTAGCTCTAATTTTCATAAAACACCAAATTGTAGTTGGTCTTATCTTTAATTAAAAAAAATTATTGTCAAACATTGTATTTTTGTATCTGTTTATATTTTTATTGAAAATTACTTACTGGGAGTACTTATCCTAAGTCCAATTTATGCAGAGATCAAAAAGAAGATTTTGCATGTTCAATCGAGCTGAAATTTCATAAAGATCCTCAAGAAACGAAGACTCTAAATACAATATCCACTCCTTCTGTCTGTGTTCCCCTAAAGCAGCCTGAATATTGCATGATCCATCCTAATTTTGTTATGAAGCGACCGAACCAAGGTAAATATATCTATGCACAGTGTCAGATATTATGAGGCCTCTTTTCTCTCCATCGAACTCAACCGTAACAGGAGTAGAGATTAATGGAGAAATTCTAATAAGCTTTTAATAATTTTTATTTTATTTTATTTTATTTTATTAACACGTCAAATACAAGGACTTTAATCAATCAGAATTCGTAACATATTATCACGCGCAGTATTTCAGATTATCTACTGATTTCTTCTAAAATAAATTACACTAAGGTGACCAGTGCTCCTTCAAAAATGTTATAATGGCTGTTAACATTAAACAATCAAAGCATTGAAAATTTATTTGCTTCAGTAACCACTTAAATATTTTAATTTTCCACTATTTCCATAACGTAACTTTTTATGTGTGTTATAGTTATCAAATTATTGTGGTGGTCAATTGTAAATTCATGTTAACTTCGCAAGACATTAAATATATTTTATGACAAAAAATTTCTGCATAAACAAAGTTTATATACCACTATAATAAATTTGAGGGACAACAGCAAACCCCGTTATACTAAGAAAATTTTGAAATCTGTACTTTTTGGAAGTAATTTTAGTACCATATACTTTCGGCTTTTAGAGTTTTGATAAATGATTTTGTTTTCAGGTAATTTTCATTTAAAAATTTTTCAATATCACACTAATTGATTTCTTATTATATTTAGCAGCATTAGGCACATTTTTTTTATCTTTACTAACATAAAAGTACGTTTTCTTATTTTATCAAGCAATAATAAAAATAAATTTTATATTTCTTCTAACAATGATGAAAATAAGTTTTCTTGCCACTTCTAACAATAATAAAAACAAAGAAAGTTTCCTGATCACTTCTAACTGTAATAAAATTAAAGAACTTGAAAACAGTTAATTAAACAGAGCACAAAAAAAACGAATTACCCTGATTAACTTCTAATTATTAGATTCTCATGTACTGGGACTCATTCTTATTGGTTCCAAGAGGTGACTTCAAATATGCTAATTTGTTAGTGCGGATGATATTTCAAATTGCTACGTCAATCACAAAAACGGACTTTTCTCTGAATAAACATAACTGTTTTAAATGTATCTGGGTTTTTGAAGGTATAGGAATAGCGTTAATCAGGGAAATGTATGATCCCAATTGTTTGGCTAGGAGAGCGACAAAAAGTTTGAGCCTCTTATTGTCAATTTTACTTTTTGCATAATTTGCCGTATCTCGAAAAATATTTAAACGAATTCAAAAACGTTTGCGCACAATTATAAGTTTTGTTTATCAAAAAATAATTCCATGCAAAACATAATTCTCAATAGTTATGCATTATTTTTTATTAGCTGTTACTAAATACAATTTTAGTAGCAGTCGAAAAAAACTTACATTTTAAGGTGAACTCATTTTACACCATCTTAGAAAATGTAATTCTAAATGGCAAAATGAAAGATTGGAACGAAATCGGTTGAAGTATTCCGTAAAAATGAATTTTTAAAATTGATCTTCTTTAAATTTAGATTTCTCAGGAACTATTTAACCAATTTCGTTCAAATTTTATATTTTGTCTCCTAACATTACATTTTTTTGAATGATAAAAGAATTTGTATACTTTACAATTTAAAATGTTTTGACGGATATTAAATAAATTTATAAATAATAATTTTTTTCGTGGAATTATCTTCGGATAAACAATATTTATAATTGCGTGCAGAATTTTTTTATTCGCTCTAACATTTTCCGAGATATGTCAAATTACACAAAAAGTAAAATTAACATTTAGAGGTCCAAAATGTAGATCGCTTTCCTGACCAAACTATTGAGACAATATTTTCTGTCTGACTGCCAGTACATCTTATATTTTGATCGTCAAAAGTCCAATCCCGTTCAAAAGAAGACATGGTTTTCCAGAAAACGTACACTTTGTGTCTGATTTCATAACTACAAATTCTGTCTGCACTAATGAATTAGTATATTTGAAGTCACTCCCTTGAACCATTGAACCTATAGGATTGAGTCTTAGTAATTGAAAATCCGATTATCAGGATCAAAAATTATTTAGGGTCATATTTTTTCATACTATTCCTTATTTACACCTTCAGAATAGTGATCTCATACATATGGTCGCGTAATTCTTACTGTTCATGGTATCATATATAAAAGGAGCTTTTCTGTCGCTAGTGACCCAAGAACAGAACGTAATTTCAATTCATTACTCATGTGTTAGTCGTATACGTACTCTTCAATACGTATACATATTCTCTTGTACGCTTACGTATTCTCTACTCGGGAGAAGTGGACTTGGCAAAGCGCTCTTAAGACAATCCAGCTCTTTTAAATATTCGCCTACCAAGAAAAAAAATTTATGAAACAAATAAGGAAGTAAAAATCAAAAATTTAATCTGAAGTCCAAGATCGCGTGGGAAGATTCCTAATAATAGTAAATAATAGTAAATAAGTAATAGTATCTATAATTTTATTTCTTTTCAGAGTAATTTGACAAAGTTTAATTACTTAAAAGAATTAAAAGTTTTCAAAAAGTAAAATTTTTAAATCTTTTTTTTTTCTTTTTTATTATTCTTTCAAATATTTATATTTATTTATTTATTTCAAATTGCAGAGGTGAATTGGCATGTTAAAAAGCAAAAACACAGGAACAAAATAAGAAAGTAAAAAGTCATTTCCTCAGGAGCGCTCTTGCCTCCCAATATCGCTCGGTATACGACGACCCGCGGAGGGCCCTGCAGCACAGGATGTGGCTTCCATCCAAGACAGCTTGGCTCTTTCAAATATTTATATAACAAATTACATCAGTGTTTTACACATTTAATAGAAATGTATTTTATTCCATCTAAAAATTTAATTTATTTCGATCTTTCAATTTGCCATCAGAATCCAATTTTATTTGCCTTCAGCATCATTCGATAGTAGCTTTAAAAATAAGAAATTCTAAACTCAAAAATTCTAACCTTTCCATTTTATTTTCTCTTTCATCCCCTCATGGATGCTATTTGCTCAGAAATTAAAGTATTTACCATTATTTTTTAAGACTAGCAAGTTAATTTTACTTTGAAATTAGTTTTGCGTTAATTGTTTGCTGAAACGACAGATTTCTGCAAAATAAAATATTAAATGTTTGGATGAATGTTTGAAACTTTTCTACTATTCATTGCTATGATTATGTACGTTGTATCAATTAAATATATTTGGAAAAAATTAAAACTAATCAATACTGGTGTTTCATATAATACGGGTTATCAATTTAATAACTTTTACTATTTACTTGCAAAACGTGGAATATTATGGAAAAAATTAAAAAACTTGCGATTTTTAAAAGCTAATAGAAATAACAAAAATAAAGATAAAGATATTACCATGACATTAATACAGACGATAATTTTGTACTTATGTACTGCCTTGACTTTGATATTGTAACTAGGTTAGAAAATTAGAAGAATTTATTAATGAAATTCTTTTCAAAATTCTTCTATTCTGATTTTAATTCATGATTAATTAAATTGATTGAAATAATGAAATGATGAATGAAATATGATTGAAATAAAACTTTCTCATATACTATTGTACAATATTATCAATGTATTATATTATCTAATTAAAACTAGCTATTCATTCTATAAAATTGCGTAATCTACAAATTAAAACTACAGTACACTCTCGATTATCCGTGCGCGGATTATCCGGTTTGCGGATTATCCGTGCTCATTCCGGAGTCACACGAAAAAATATAAAGAGAAAAATTTTAAAGATTAAAAAAATTTTATTCATGAAGTTATAGCACTACCAAATTTTTGNTGATATTGATTTTTTCCCTAATTAAAAGAGTTTTCGGATTATCCGTGTTTTTCGATTCTCCGTGCTCCCTGTCCCGGTGATTAACCCGGATAATCGGGAGTGCACTGTAATTCTTTATTCCTTAAAATTGTGTGATCTACTACTTTCAACAAACTCTTCACACTATTAAGTATCTATTATTTGAAACTAATTGTTCATTCTAGAAAACTGTGCAATGTACTATTTTTAATTTAAATTTCACAGCATTAAATAGTCTAAGCTACTACCTAGAAATAATTCATCAAGCTACAAAATTACATGCAAAATTGCTACAAAATAATTTTTCATACTTTCAAATTTTCAGTGATATTCCAAAAAACAGATCCTTGTGATGATATTGTAAAGAATGAACTGTGTGGTTCAATGACAACGTGTGCAAAAACAGACGGCAAGAATTTCAAAGCAGATGGGGAGTTTTTTAATTGCACTTGTAAGCCAGATTTCTATTCAAAAGACTATTACCAGCCTATTAAAAATGAAAATAGTTTCATCCACATTTGTGAAGGTAAGTGTCATCTATAAACCATTTGCATTGTTGCGTCTACTTATTCATTATTTCAAAGATTTGTTTGAAAAAAAGTGATAGCTGAATTTCTTTATTTTAAAATGTTTTATTGAAAGTCATAGATACAGAGAACGCAATCTCGAATGATAAAAGATATATATTGTTTACAAAATTTACTAGAAACATTTAAATCACTGATTTGCCTTTTTCATAATGTTGTGTTGTGACTTGTTTTAATCTAGGGAAAAATATTTACATAATTCATCTGAAATTACCTTGAATTACACCTAAGAAATAGTAGGACTTATGTAACACAACAGTAAAATAGAAACAAGTTTCTTAATTGACAAAAAGCAAACTTAAGAATTAACATGCCTTTTCTGTGCTAAAAAATTAGAAAAATATTTCTCTTTAATATATTCTCTTACATTAGGAAACATTTTCAAGGGTTATTGATTTAGAACATCAGAAAAAAAGCTAAAACCAATTCTCTTGAGAAATGAATGATATGAGGCTCCTCGAAGCAATTTCCAATAATATTAGTATGGAACATCCAGACCTTAAAGATCAACAGTTCATTCGGTCAGATATACAAAAGTCAATCCAAGACCAACAAATTAACCATTACATAAACTTGATCACCGGAAACATTCATTTCTATGGACTAAGCGCTTCCAACAATTCATGTCTCAGTAGCAAGCAGATCGTATAGATCCTGTACAGAAATGTATTAAATAAAACAAGGTATCTTCTAAGGATACCAAAGTAAAGACAGAAACCTAATGCAAGTTTGACAGTCATTGGTCGAAGCACGGTACAAATTATTCAATTTGATGTGATATTTACCATCTATTGGTGACTGTCTGGGATTCATCTTTGGTAATAATTCTCAGACAATGCATGTGCGCATTACATTAACGCAATTTAAGGGAGAGAGAAAGTTGCCATTGGCTCAACTGGCATTTAAACAGACAGTCCTGGTTTTTATTGTGAACTCTGAACCACTTCCAACAAAATGAAGTCTGATCAGAACTCCAGTTTTTATCACGTAGACCCAGCTCCCAGTCAAAACCATGGTAAATAAAGACTCTAGCTACCATACTGATTTAGCTGCCTTCAAAAATGTGACAACACAATGAAATGTCTGAATTATTTGAACCCACAACTGCTACAAAAAGAACTAAAAATTACAGTTTTCATACGTTACATAAGTTCCACTGAGTTATATCATTGAGTAATGCATCTCCATTTTTAATAATGGAAAATCTTCTTTGAACTCAAAATCAATAATTCACGGGGAATTGTTTGCTGTACTACTATTATTCTAAGTGAAACTTACGTTGTAGTTTTGCTTTGAATAATCTTATGAAAAAAAGTACAGGTATACTGCTTATTGATAATATTAAAACAATTTTGAAATAGAATATACCGTGTGTAGATATAATCAAATACCTCATGTATTGCAGATCGAAAAGACTGCAGCAGACCAGACTCTTGTCCGAAAAACACCTCATGTGTGATTACACCAAGCAGTTACGAATGCTACTGCGAGGAGGGTTACAGAAACACTTCTCATAATATAAAGGAAAATGGCTGTATTGGTATGTAAACTTAGAAAAAAAGTTCTTTTTTCAGGTCGTAACGTTCTGTCGATCAACGAATTCAAAAAAAGTTGATTGACTGAAGTAACTTATACAGATTCGAGGTTTTGCTTATTTTGGAGGTTCACTTATAACTCTTTCGTTTCATTTTGTTTCTGTCTATCAACGAATTCAAAAAAGTATATTGACTGGAGTTAATTATACAGATTCGTGGTTTTGCTTATTTTGGAGGTTCACTTATAACTGTACGCAACAGAATCACGTCCGGGTCACCAGTTGTACGCAACAGAATTACAGGATAAAAATGACTAGCAGACATTTTTTAGAACACTCATTTTTTATTATTATTTATTTGATCTGTTGCCATTCGCAACTCTCATAAAAGTAATATGAATAGTCATGTGACATATGATGTTCCTACATAACTCTTTCGTTTCGTTTTGTATCGACATGAGGCGGAGCTGTCGTATTATGCATCATAAGATTTTAGCATATATGTTGATTTTCAAGTAAGTTGTTTTCAATAATTAGTTCTTAAACGTTAGTCGTCATCGATGCAATAAAACATTCATCAAAAATTTAATCAGATTAATCATTCAAGTATGTATGAAATGTAGACTGAATATAGAATGCAAAATTATATTCAATTTTTTTACTGCTAAGCAATCAGTTCAATAGTTTTTAAGTAAAAACCGTTCTTTTAAATAATAGCAAATTCGTATTTCAATATTTTATTAGTCTGACTAAATATAGTAAATTACACTAAAAACATAATTGCACGTATACAAACCATTTTGATTTTTTTTTCAAACCACAACTTCATGTATATAACAAATAGTCTAAAATAATATCAATGTACTTTTTCATAAAATTTTGATGCCAACTTTACTTTGTTCAATAATTTGGGAAATTTAAACAAAAATTCTATTTGATCCCAGGCACAGATGGAATATAAATCGTTTATCGAATTAGTATTATATATTATTAAACAATTTTCATGTGATATTGAGGTTGGCTTGATAGCTTCTATCCAAACATTGATTTTGCGTTAATGATAAACTTAAATGCTTAGAAATAAAATATTTAAGGATTGAATTCTTTATTATCATATAACATATCGCTTTTCTATGAAGCAAAGGAAAAGTGATTGCTTCCTACATAAGGATATGAAAATGCATAAAAAAGACTTTCAATTAGTCACAAGCATTATGTATTTAATATGTATTTTTTTCTTTCATCACTATTGAGTTTTAAAGACGAAGCCTTTTATTGCTTCTCCTATTACTCATACAAATAAATAATCTAAATTTGATACGAATTTTATTCAAAAAAATTTTTTTTACTAATTCTTCATTATGCTTAGTGTGAATATGAGACTAAGCTGCCTGTAAAATGATTCTCCGTCTAGTATATATGATAGCAATGTCGCTTGTTGAATTTAAACGTTATTTCTGTTGGAGAATCTCTGCAATTGATATCCGTTTTAAAACATTCAGTTTTTGAGATTTTACTACCAATTTTCGCGTAGTTAGTATAATTTTTTGAGAGAAAACTGGTCTACTAATAGTTTACTATTATCGCTCCTTCTACACATAACTTTTTTTGCATATTAATAGTTTACGATTGACTTTGTTTACTCTTTGTTGTTAACTGTAATCGAATTTAACACAAATTGTGTGTTTAATGTCTCGAAATTATGTAGTTTTATATGAAATTGAATTTTGCGTAATAAATTTTAATGAAAATAATTTTAAAAAATTCAAGATAAAGCCAAGGCCAAATTAAGGGTAAAAGAAATTAACAAAAAAACCTATGAAACATAAATTTTGAATAAAAGTTAAAATATAAAGCTCTACATTGAAGCTGTAAATTTGGCAAAATTTGAGCTTGGCGATTGATATCATACTCTCCTATTAAATATATGATATGTAATTAAAAACTAATGTCCGCAAAAAGTGAATTACTACTATATCACATAAGTTTAACAAAATACCCACATGCGTATGTAAATAATATAAAACAATTTCTTACACATGCTTTTATTTATTTTAAGCACTATCAACTCTAACTAAAAAACATTTGTTGCTGGCAGTCGTGATGTCAAAATTATATATAACTAAAAATATGAGTTTACTAGCTTACAAGATATCACAACAAGCAACCAAAAAAAATTTGCTATTAATCTGATTGAACACGCTGGTCGAAATGGTGGTTGATCGAAAGAACATACTGGTTGGTGAGGAAGTCCTCCTGCGACTACCCAGTTGCCCTTCGCCAATTTCTGCGAAACCGAGTCTCAACGCGGAATGCAGAAACAAAACTTGACGAAATTAGTAGCGTGGACATCCAAAATTCTAGAGTGTTCCAGAAAATTCGGAGGCCGTAAAGTGACAAAAATCCAAAGGGAAAATTAATCATTCTCAAGGATACAAGAAAAACACCTTAAAAACGTCGAAAAAGAATGTTTGGCTTCGGGTGTTGCAACAGGAAATTCAAAGGAAGCGTGGAAAACTCCGCTATCATTCCAAAAACTGCAAAGATATGAAAATAATTAAACATCAAAGGATTAGTTAGAATTGAAACAAGCACATTCGTCTTACGAAGAATTGAAAGAAAAATACACTTTTACAATTCAAACAAAATAAAATTTAATTATTGAAAATTAAACATTAAAAGTTAAAGAATATTTAAGAATATTTGATTTAAAATTATCGAATTAATAAAAGACATCATTTGAGTTTCCAGTAAACACAAACTAAAATAAGTCGAGCAATACCATAAAAATAATATTTAAATTTTGAAAATTATATTTTGCATATAATTCTCTTAGCTTAAACGTGTTTTACGTTGTTTCATAATCCTTTTGATTCACTTAAGTAGTTATTATAATTTGCAAAAATTTGGAAACATTTAAGACTTTCAGATGTCCGAATTTCTGACCACTTTCCTACTTTAACTCTTGAGACCGAATTTTTCTGCGAAAATCCGATCGCTAGATAAAAAGTTATTAAGATGTTCAGTTTTTTTATTATTAATTTTGCGCATCGTGTAAAAATTATTTAACCAATTGTTACGTGTTCTCATTTAAATAATAATATACAAAATTTGTGCTGTTTTCGAATAATGAAGACAATATCGGAATTAGGATCCATACAAGAACCGATTTTTATTTTTGAAATAATCAAAACAATAGTATCGGAATTGGCATCCATGACTCTTTTCAGCAGCCTGAAGTTGCTTGCTTTTAACCTCATATTAAAATATTTTAAGGAACTTTTATTTAAGTTTAAGTAACGTTTCTCTGAAGATGTTATTAATTTTTAATTTTTACAGGTGTCTGTGATAACAGCCCTTGTGGTGAACATGGAACATGTGAGCGATTTGAAAAGCACGAATACATGTGCAAGTAAGAAATTTCATTTATTTATGTACAGATCTTCCTTAATAACTCCCCTTAATATATATTTTTATACTCATTCTCAAAAGAGAAGTCAAAGACTTATTCATATTAAGTATTAACAATAAAACAATAACAAATGTTTTCAAGCGAATAATTTTAGTAAGTTTTGCATTCACTGCAATTTATGTATTTGAAAGCATCGTATCCAAATTCGTTAATAACAGTATTTCGTGTTACCCACGTATTTAAAAATCTGTTTTCTTTGCAAAACAGTTTAGATGAGTTTCAGAAATAATTTTGCTTTAATTGATGCTTTATTTAATGTATTAAAAAATTTTTTAATTAATTTTAAAAGTTGTGTGACAGTAAAAAAGATGCAGTTTCCATTAAACGGGACATTTAAAATTTGTAAATTAGTTGTAACATTTATTTATTATTGTTGTTATTTATTCTTTCTTTTAACTATTACAGGTGTGATCCATCATATACAGGGGTACACTGTGAAACTCCAAATGAAAGAAAAGGTACACAATGAATATCTTTTTTAAAAAAGTATTCTTCATAGTGCTTAATTTGTATGATAATCCTTTTTTTCATAAAAATTTCTTGGTTGTTGATTTTTCAAACTTAGCTAAAACAATTCAGCATACTATAGCATAGAAAAAGTTGAATTATTTGTCAAAAAAAATTTTAAAAAGTCAAAAATTAAATGAAAAGATAAAAATTGATCTAAAACAGCAAAAACATGTTAAAATATGTAATTATGTTTGCGATGCTTCGAAGTTATTAATAAAGTGAGTCATTTGTAAAATTTTCAAGGTCTGTTTCACAAAAACTATCAGACTTAAATACTTGGAATTATGAAGATTTGTAGAAAAATGCATTAGAAAAACTATGAAATTAAAAAATAATAGTCCGTAGTTAGTTCTTGAAATATTAACTGGTAAGTTTGAAGTAAAAATACTATATAAATCATTTTGCAATCCGTAGAAATGCAATTACTTGACAGTTGAAATTTAAAATGCTTAATGGGACATTTCCCTTTATTCTTTTTTCTCGCCTTTCCTATTTGTTCGAAAGCCATTGCAATTTTAAATGCTCTTTCTTGAATTTTTTTGCATTTTCTTCGTTTTAAATATTAACTGTTTATCCACTGATATAGAAAAATGTAATTCTTTTGCGATTTTCATTTTATAAGTTCGTGCTTGAATTGGTGTCGAAAATAATAAAAAAATGAGTCGAAATAATGAAAAAGAAAGTGAAAAATAAAATTTTGCTATAAACCTAATAATATTTTGTAACATAAAGATTGTACAGGGATAAAAAAAAACTTAGAACTTCATTTATAAAAAACTTAGAAGTTTTGATGTAAAAAATAAATAACATTTGAAAATTGATTTGGTAGGATAAGAACCGATTTTTCTCAAAATTTCTCCCTAATCAGTACTTCTTCACTAGCATTCTCACGGTCTTTGTTCCTATACTTCTCTTTGTTCTCATTGTCCACACTAGAAAAAAGGGTTTTTCAAAATTGAGCAAAAATTTGTGAAAAACCCAGAAACAATTATAATCACATTTGAAAACCAGAGTACTCATAGCATAGGGACATACTCAAAATTGAGACAGCTCTGAGAATTCATCCTCATTTGTGAAGTTGATTGTTGATTACCGATCTGAAGACCTTCTTTATCCGTAAAATGAGGCTGGAATAAGGAATAGGGGAGTATTTTATCTAATTAAATTTTATTTTCGAATCTTTGATCGTTTTAAAGTAATAGAGTTAGAGCTTGTCACATTTGATGAAGCGTGTCAATTTTGAGACTATGTATTTGAGCATGTCATTTTACTTAATAATGAATACATAGGTTTTTATATTCGACTATAGTTGTTCTGGGCCTATTTTGACAAATTTTTGATCACATTTTGAAAAAACCCTTTTTGTAGGGTGAGTGCAGATATGGTACATGTAAGCATGGTTCATGTGTTTTTCTCTAATATAGTCCATCTTATTATAGTCCATCTTTACTGTGTAGTAACTGTGGAGTAGAGCTGATTTTCCACGTTACTGATTTGTCAAAATGCAACTGCTCAAAACAAACCACAAAATGTAACTGCTGGCAATCCAATCACCTTTTTTTTCCAAAAAATGAATTTAAACCATTCTTTCTCCTTGATCTTCAATTAAAACTACTTGTTATTCATTATTTCATCATTTTTTATTGTGTTGCACATTCTGTATTCCTAAGTTGTTGAGATATTTCTTTCAAGTACAATTGATAATTTTTCAAATCCAGGTATCCTTTTATGTCTTTACGATTTGAATAGTAACAAAATGTGCTTACAGAAAGTTGTAATAATTATATATTTTGTAAAAAAAAATGATTTTTATCAATTTTTAAGTGAAAAAAAGCATGAAGAATAAGAAACATGAATGGGTTTAATAGTAAAATAATTAATAGAATGTTATAAAAAAGGGTGATTCTTAATGAAAATTTATCTTCAAGTGTTGATCTAAATCTTTATTCAGACCCAAGCTCAATAAATCATGAATTCAAATTTTAAAAAACATGATAAAACTTGTATTTTTCAAAAAATTATGAATATCAATGGCGTAATGGGAAAGCCTTATTGGAATAAAAGGCAACGGAACATTTTCCCATTTTCAGATGCAGAGACTGCTTTAATTCAATAAATATATTGTTTTCCCTGACTTTTATGATTTTGTGATGAAAATTAAATGGAGGTGAAAATAGTTTTGAAAAAAAAGATAAAAATGGCCTGTGTGATCATAAAAATTTGAGTGAAATACATTTTTTTATAAAAAGATTGGTTTTCACTATTATTTAAATAAGGCTTAGAATTTGACAGAAATCAGTCAAATATTTCTTAAAAAATAAGGCTCTTTTGAAATTTTAAAAATAGAAACCGAAAAATAAAGATTTTTTTAAATTTATTAACTTAACGATATCGGGCTCATTTAATTCAGATTTCGGATGTTTTAATTGAAAATTGAAAATTATGTAAAGATAAGTAATCTTTGCTGTTCTAAAAAAATTATCATAAATAAACCAAGCATCTGTGGATATTTTTTTAATTAAAAGGCAAAAGTAAGGAAAAGGCAAATTTAAAAAAACTTATATTGATAAAGGAAGTAAGACATCAATATTTTTAAATATAATTAAAAGAACGTGGTCCAAGACAGCATGTAAGCAATTTAAACAGTTATATCAGTAGGTAAAAAATTAAGCAGTAGGCAAAGTTCTACCAAAAGTCTTTTTTTGAAAAAGAAAAAATATTCTATTTGACTTATGAATTTCTACTTTTTGTATCACCAATTAATAAAACAATAATTAATAAATTTTAAAACTTATTTTTTCACAGAATTGTCTAAAGAAAAATAACATTTTACGATTGCATAAATTTTACAATTCCCTTAAAATTTTTCAGAAACACTACGAAAAGCACAAAAAGTGAAATTTACACAATGAGGTCTTTCTCCATTCTAAACTATTAGAAATATATTTTTCCAAATTGAGGCTATCCCCTATATTTCGTAAATAAGACGTAATCAATGAAAGTACTTTTGTCTGTCTGTCTGTCACTGGTACTTGTCTTCAGTAGTCAGTTGTTAACTTTATTGGACATATTTAAGTTCATTCCTTCGAAATATTAAGATTAGTGCTGATCGCAGAATAATTCTATCATTTATTGAGGGTGATATTTTTCCATTGTACTGCATTTGTTAAATTTGTGTTGGTATAAATCATCTAACACCTATATCTCAATATCCCATGTCTCTCAAAATATTTTTGCACCAATTATTCTCCCTTTAAGCTAAAAATATTATTTAAAGTGAATCAGTTAATCAAGCGCAAAGAGTTGTGATCTGAGACAGTAATGAGTCGCACGTAAAAAAAGCTAAAGTATGAAATATAACAAATATATTTATAAAACTTTATATTGAATTTACAATTTTTTGTATTAAAGTATATAAGCTAAAATAATAATATTTATTTTAAAGAAATTGAAGACAATAATCTCGCAGTTACTCTTAGTGTTTCCATTATCCTGAGTCTTCTTATCGTGATTTCTATCATTGGTATTTTCATACTGTACAAAAAGTAAGTAAAAAAATTTATATTTCAAAATCAAAAAAAAAAATGATAACTTGAAACATAATTTTCTTTAAGAAAAATAATTTCTTTTTGTGTTTTGATTGTGTTAAAAAGGACATGATTGTTTAATTATTTAAATTTTGTTGATTTTATATTTTAACATTCCAATTTTCTTTAAAACTTCATTTTTTTTTTAATTATTATCTTTAATTTTCAAAACAAGCCAAGTCAAAATATTAAAAAAATAAATAATTCAGTATGTCACGAAATTTTTTTTTCCAATGCCCACCTGGAGAATGACCTGGGTCATATAGGCATCTGAAGGACAAATTTGTTGACCACTCTTTCAGGGGCACCATATTAGGTGGACCAACGTTGCTCCCACAATGAGGACAGATAGTACAAAGAAGGAAGGAACACCCATGACATTCCCGGAATTCGAACCCAGAACCTTTATAATGCAAGGGCTGTTCCCTAACTCCTACACAGGCCCGTCGGCGTATGTTACGTAATTAATGCACTATTAGGTAAAGTAAGGTACAGATAAGGAACTATAAGGAAAAGTAAAGTACATCATAAGGATTGAGGGTTGCCTAAAACCCATAACCGAAACTCGCCACTAAAGGCTCCTAACGATAATGGGCTAGTATGTGCATTTGTACCAATACCTTAATCATTGAAAATTATCTTAATTTAACGTTAATTTATTGTTAGTTTTATGTTTTCCAATGATTGCTGTCGAAACTTTTATGCAAATAAGACTTGAAACACATGGTTTATTTATTTTTAAGGAATTAGCGATCAATACGCTGAGTTCACTAAGCTGGTTACCAAAACAGTAAATTACAATGGAACATCTTTATCTATCCCTTTTTCTTTTTGAATACAACTTAATTTTCGACAATAATTATTAAATAAAAAACACAGAAACAAGATAGTTTAAGATAAAGAAAGTACCAGTTCAAGAGCACTGGACAAACAGCCCGTAAGGGCAGCTAACGGCAGCAAGCCCTGAGCAGTGATATTTTCGGCCATTAGTTGTTATGCAGTCTTTGTGGTGTCGTCTATCTCCTTTTAAAATTTTAACTTATAATTTTGCAACACCCTTTATCTGACTTAGCTTTTGCGTCTGCCTCAAACTAGCACCTGAACATTGAACATCGTTAAAAATATTTTTCTTTGCTTAAATTTAGTTTTTAATAATAGTATGAAATATTCTATTATATGGAATATAACTCCCAAACTATTATAAAAAATGCAAAATAGAACGCTAAATGTATGTATATTTTTCTTTCAACATTTTGAAGCAATTAGAAATGTTTTCTCGTGGCTTCTCAGTGTTAAACAATAAGCCCTTTTAGTGATAAAACAAGTTCACTGCTAAGTATTTTCGAACCGAAAGTTCATCTGTCCAAAATTCTTATTCCCAAAATTATAAGTCGTTTAACTATTTGATGTAAACAAAAAATATCATGTTTCTTTTTATAATTACAACAGTAGGTATTTAGTAAATACAATAAAATCAAACTCAATGTGCAGTTCAAACTGACGTTCAAACTAACGTTTGATATTACATCTATCTGAGTTTCTCTAAAAATTTAATTAGCTCTTAATCAAACTTTTACCTTATTTAAAAATAATATACTTATTGTAAGCTAATTTAAGCAAAAAATTAATATTTTACTGAAAAAAATTCGATATCTTTTAAAATACTGTTTAATGACTTATAGAAGGTGTTTCATTAGCGAGTTATTTTTACACTTAATGTATATTTTTAGATTCTTTATCAAAAGTAAAGTCTAGAAATATGCGTGTAGAAATAGCAAAATAGTCTATAAAACAAAAAAAAACAAACTCTATATCAAAATCTGGCGAATCACTACAGATGCGGAACAAATTGAAAATATCAAAACCTATTTGAATTCCAGTAGAAACCAAACAATTGAAACTGAAAACATCAATACCTACTTGAAAGCCTGTAAAAACGAAAAAAATAGTGCGTGGAGTCCCTCCGCGCGGAAGAAGTAAATTTATTAACCTGCGACGTTAGTTGTAGAAGAATCAGCAGTCGTAGAAGGATCAGTAGTTCTATTCAACGACTCTTTTCCAGCTCAGCTCGCTTCCGTGCTCTGTAATCACGGTAATATTGTGCATTTTTCCCTCGTGGACCTCTTGAACCTGTGGAAGTGCTTGTGGTGGCCTCATCGTCTCGCACTGGAAAATGTATTTGTATTAATAATATATGTGAATGCGCCGTAATGTAATTTCAGAAGAGAAACAATCAATTGATGTTCACAAGAGACATACCTTGAGAATAACCTTAAATCCGTCGCATTGTCCGTGGAATTGTTTTCACTCATTTTTTACAATTGTTATCTACTAAATTTGAAAATAAAAAATACTACCCTATTAAATTATATGTGTATCAAAACAAACTAAAAAAATATTTATCGAAAAACAATACTTTTATTATTTTTCTGCTAGTGAGAACCAAAACAATATGGAAATGAATGAGGGAAAACTGAATCCTACCACGTGATTTCCCGGCTAATAAAAATGTAGCGTTAAGCGTTTAACGCAACCTTGTTGGAAGTCGCATAAGAAGTATAACTTCAAAAAGAAAGGTAACTGAAAAAAAATAAGAACCTATTTAGAGGTCTGTGGAAGCAGAAAAAGATGGAACTAAAACCATCAAAATCCATTTGAATAACTGTGGAAACCAAAAAAATAAAAAAATAAATAAAGGCAATTGTTAAAACTACCTTCATGTTTCCACAAACTGCTGCTGTTGTTCTTCCTCACTCATAATTTGTAAGAGGTTTTAACGGCGTTTTTGAATCTTCGTAGTTTTCCATTTCATAGTCGGTGAGACCAAATATTGTCCCATTTATTTTTAACAATATTATAAATCACTAAAGTTTTAATAGTTATCTTTTTTTTAAAAAAAAGAAATTGTGGTTTTTTTTAAAACACTTTTACATTTGAAAATGCGGATATCTTCTGGATGAACACGATAATCAGAAATCTTGTGACTTTCCTTGATTAAAATACTATATTTTTCAGCACCACAAAAGGTTGGAATTTGGAACCACTAATGTATATTTTTTTATAAAAGTTTTTTTTTTCTGTTTTTTATACTACTTGTATAAAGAAGATTGAGTGCGGTTACTCAATTACAGGAGAATATGTTACCAATGAAAATCCGTTCATATGAACTAATAAATTACCCGTGATAGATTCTGCACGAATCTTAATCTTTTTTTTCTTTACAGAAATAAATATGGTGGGAAGTATGGAAGTAAACATGCAATATTCAAACCACTTCATTTTTTGTCAAAGAAGGTAATATTTATTTATTTAGAAAATAATTCATTTGAAATATGACATTGTATTTTATTTTATTAGATTACTTATCAATTGTTTTTGAATACTGCCTTTATCTTATGTTCCAGAAATCTTTATTTGAAACAAATTTTAGTTACGTAAGATTTTTCCTTAATATGCAAAATGAGTTACAAATGGTTACAAATTTGGAGCATAATTTCGAATTCATCATTTGGACAGAACAATGATTGAGAACAGCAAACAAGGGCATAATGGCAGACGGATGGCCTCAGTGGTAGACGTATCAGGGGTTAGAATCCCTTTGCCATCCGTTTAATCATGGGAAGTTTTCGTGGCTTTCCTCTCCACGAAACTCAAATGTGAGTTAGTTTCATCCACGAAGACATATTTCTTCCAATACTTGATCCAGTAGTTCCTTTTACTTCTGGATTGGGTTTAAAATTACAAGACTACTGAGTTGAACATGGGTAGTCAGAAACTCAAAATTTGTGTAAACCACTTTCGTTTATTTTTATAAAAAGCATAGTCCTTTTAACGAAAACGCTAACCACAAATGAAAGCTCCTGATCGAACATCTAACAGTTCAATTTAGACTTACATGAACTGCCAAACACCAGTCAGCATCCATGAGGCCACGCCCCTTCTCTCTTTTTGTTTTTGAGATCGCAGATCGCTGCGATCTTTACTTTTATATTTTTCAGATCCACCAACTTCTGAAAAAACATTATCGACCCAACATTATCGACAAATTGGTAAATGCCACTACGCGGCAGCGTACCAATATTCCAATTTCCAACATTCCAACCACAAATGAGTACCGAGTAATTAAAGTATCAGGCTCATTTTCCGGTTATCTAAATAAAATAAATAATGTAGTATCGTAATGTGGTAAAATGACTATGAACTATTAGAAGAGAACGTAACCTGGTAAAAGCACTTAGATTCGTCCATAATCTAGCACTGTAAATGGTCTTATCTTCTAAGGCATGATACTTCCTAACCATCCTATCCGAAAGAGTATTCGTCAAAACTGATGGGAAGTCGTAGAACGAGTAAGAAACTGTATAAGAATGCAGATTTTTACGTGTCCATCCAAAATCCTAACACTGGTAAGAACATTCCATCGGTCCCTCTCCTGTTAGCCGCAATTTGTTAGAGCTAGATGACACGTTTATAATACTAGCTGCAGCAGGGTAGTAGTTACTAAGGAAAATGGGTTAATTTTGAATGTTTTATGCATTGTAATGGTTTAAATTGTTTTAACTAATATTTATCAGGAAATAATTAATTTATCTTACAGGTACGGCTAATGTGCAATCCTAAATATGATGGTGAAGATTATAGCGTGGCTCATCAAGGAATCTCGGAAACTTTCGACCATAGAAGCAATGATGACTCAGAGCGAATGCAAAATGCAGATTGCATTGAGCTGGAAATACGAGAGAAAATCAAACGTGGTGATCAAGCGTTGGCAAATGCTGCAACAAGTCGCAAAAATGAAAAATTGGGACAAGTAAACTCGAAAGCGAGTGAAAAAACAGAAGTGTTTCGTCTAAGACTCTGATTTTGCTTCAAAACAATATCGAACTCTTTCACAAGTTTATGTTACCTGTTAATATGAACATTGTTTTCCTCATTTTTATAGATTGAAGTATATTACATATATCGTGCATATTCACCATTGTTTAAAAATGTTTCAACCCTGATATAAAAGTTTAAAAGTAATTCTTTTAGTATTATCATTTTTAGAATTATCCTTTCATCATTGCCTTTTTTATGTGTAATTATAACTATCTTCATTTTATTGTGGTATATCCGATATTCCAAAGTTTTAAAGTTGCGTTACACTTACGAAATTTAAAATAATCTTTTGACGCTTCTGTCATACAAAGCTTGCCTACGGTACGATATTTATTACAAAAGACGATTCAACGCAGTGGTTGCAAAGTTAAAGAAGATACACCATATTTTAAGAATTGAGAATTGCATCGCAACCCATGACTGCAATCCATACACGGATATAGCTGGTTCCCATTATGAACAAGTCAGTTCGTATTTTGTGTCTTAATTTCATAATTGTTTTGCTTTTACCATTTAATATTCTCAATGATTGCTATACAATTGGCCTGGAGTTTGTTTTAGACTAATTTAAATATTTGGCTTACGCCTTGACAAGAAAGTCGCCAAATTCTTAAATTACTCACAATAGCTATTTCTACGTCTTTTGAATGCCGAAATTTAACAATAATTATTAGAAAATGTAAAGTTACGTTAAATAAAAATTTAGATAAATAAAAAAAGAAATTTTAAATACTCGCGAACAGTAAGTTCATTTCAGAAAGACGTCCTTAGTGATGTACGATGAGATTTTCTAACCTGGATTGTTACTCAACTCTAAACTCTTGAAATGTGACTTAGATCACAGCAAAATTTGCCCCTGTACGGAATCACTCTGTCAACATGCGTTTACACTGTGAAACAGAGGCTATGGATTAAATAGTAAATGTATAAAAATTCTTGAATTAAATGAAATATTAATAATCTTAAATTTACTTGTGGCTATTATAATGAGGAGCATTTTTAGACTCAATTTCCGCAATTAAACAAACTCTTAATCCGAAATCAGGACATGAATTGCTCAAAGCAGTAATTATAATAGAAATTTTTCTTCTTAGAGGCAGGAGTTATTTTTGCAAAACTCGGGTAACATTATGTGTGACTACCGTCTAGCTAGTCAGAATGTAGACAATATTTTACAACATTTGATGTCCGTTCTTCAGGATTTTATGTATCTGATCAACGATGAACTTACAAATATGGGTTATGAGAAAATTTATTGTTGACAAGATGATATTAATATAGGTGCTAGTTCTATTAAAAGTGTATTTAGGAAAATTGCAGAAATTCTAAAAAGTTTCATGAAGTACCTACAATTAAACCCTACTTTCACAAAAAAATAAATCTGTCAAATCTGAAGAAAACTATTTAGGATTTAATAATTCTCATAACTCACAGTTTCTAGATTCCAAAAAGGTAGAAGATGTCAAAAGATTTCTGGCTGTTTGCAAATTTTACCTTATCCCTAACTATGCTCTACTTACTAATGTTCTTAATTGTTTAACTTTAATGAATGTAAATTTTCACTGGAATGAAAAACATCAAAATGTTTTTCATCAATTGCAATAAATAATTTTTTCTAAGCTCTTTGTACACCTCCCTCAATTCAATGAAAGGTTCATTTTAAGCACCAATGCAAGTGGTAAAGTTACTGTCGGAATTCTAATGCAAGATTTTCAGGGTCATCGTAAATCTATCTCATATACTATTAGTAAAGATTTTTCCCCCTCTGAGAGGATTACCCGACTGTTAAATTAAAATTGTTTGCTATTTTTAAATCTGTCATTGATTTCAAAGATTATTTAGCTTAAAGGACATTCATCATACTTACTATTTCTAAACCCAAAGCTCATTAGATGGAAGTTACCAGCTGACATTGCCACTTGATGGTTTTAGCAATTCTTCTTTTTCTTCGACAGCACGACAGCCGCTTACAGGCCTTGGCTGCCTAAACCACGCGTAGCCTCCAACGCCTCCTATCCATGGCGACTTTTTTCCAGCTGTTAATCTTTATTACTTTGAGATCTTTAGCAGTGTCGTCCAGCCATCTAGTTGGAGGTCTTCCTCTGGCCCAAGAACCAGAAGGATTTTTAAAGGTGGCGATTCGTACTGCATTGTTTACTGGACCTCTCCAGATATGGCCAAGCCATCTTAATTTATTGCTTCGGATGACCTGCACTATTTGTGACTGTCCATAGAGTCTATATAAGCAATTTTAGCAGTTGTCCGAATTTATTTAAGAAGTTCGTAACGTATCTAGATCTGATATAAATTAACTGATCAGTTCTTTCGAAATCTCAATCCTGGTTTCCATACCCCGGTTTTATATAACTAGTTTTATATTTTATTGATAAACAAGAGGAAATTAAAATTGTTAATGTAATTCAAACAAATAATCCTCTCAATGAAGTTTCGTTTACAACCTTTTATAAAGAATACCAAAATTGTCATAATAAATTTTTCTTCTTTGACCATTTCCAATAAGACTAAGAATTTTTATATTAACAATGAAATCAAATAATTAACGTTTGCTTGTAAGGTTGTTGTTTCAGAATTAATTGTAGCATCGTCGACATTGCAGGGAAAAGTTTAAAAAATACCCCTTTTAAATGTTATTTAATGGTTCAGTTTTTCTATTCTATATCTAACGTATAAATGTTTTTTTACGATTGCATAATTTTAGACATTAAAGAAATGTTTCCTGATTAGGAATTAATAACTGTTATTTAAAAAAAAATACTTTTTGGTGCTAAAAGAAGCATATGTTTTCTTTAATGTTCAAATAAAATAATTAATTCATATAAATGCCAATTGATTTGGATAGAAACATATTTTATTCAAATTTCAAATACAATTTTCATAAATGCGGAAAAGATCTTCTTAAATGCGATTTTCTTAAATGCGAATAAAGAAACATCTTCCTTCATTTCTTGTTTCTCCCACTCCGAAATCTGCAAAAAAATAAACGGCTTATCTAAAGAAAAAATATTTTCCTTAAATTTTTATGTAGTGGTTCAGATTTTATAACAAAAATGATTGCGTAATTTTAAAATTGCAAGTACTAGAGATACTAATTTTACATTTAAAACTACCGAGTAGAAAACACAATTTCGGGTATTGTGTTAACATTAATCCTAAATAGAATCGATCAGTTCATATATCTTAAAAATAATACTATTCTCAACTAAACTACTATTTATTACTCTAAAAACTCAAGAACAATTTTTACACTGAAATATTATTAAAAAAATTATTTATTTTTGACTTTATTGTCATACTCTTTGAAAATAGAGTAGGACTACTAGAATAGGACAAGACTACTCGATTTCCCAACACTACTCACTTTTCCCCTTTTCGTTACCATGGTATCCGCAAATCTTGCTTTTTTTCCATGCTAATATATTTTACTTTTTACTGAAATGTACTGAATGTACTTACTGAAATGAACCTTGTTAAAACAAAATTTTTAGTAACCATGGTAAACGAGAGGGGAAAGTTTGTAGAGTGGGTAAGTCGCTTCACCTAGAGAAGTCGATCCTATTTAAAAAGAATTTATAAATGTTGTAAAAAAAATTATAAATTCTTCTCTTAAATACAAACAGTTATAGAAAGAAAATTATCGAACCAGAAAAAGAAAATACCAAGAGAAAAATAAGACAACCTTGAACAACCTTGAAGCTTTTTGTAAAAATGTATTGTTTAATACTACTTATTTTTCGATTGATATTTATAAAATCAACAGTATCCTGATTGCGCATACATCAAATTATTGTCTAATGTATATGAATGGCGACAATATATATATATTGCGGTGAATATTGCGAAATATNGAACGGAGGGCTTTACAAAAGTTCCGTACTGTAAGAGGAAAACGCCGAGGTCCAATGACACCGCAAGGTTTACGGCAAATTTACGGTAAAAGACGTGTAAAACAAATTTGCATATTTACCATTTGTTTAACACTATTGCATACAGCGCCATTTTCCGCTAGTGGTGAATTTTTGAACTTTTTTTTTCTTTGTTGCGGGAACTAAAATCCCATGACCTCTTATAGACATTTACCAAGTTTGATGACATTTGGTCGGGAAGTTTTATTTTTATAGCCATTTCAAAGTGGAACTTTAATTATAAAGACCCTGTATATATATTGCAGTGAATATCGCGAAATATTTGTTATATTCGAGTTGATATTATTATATTTATTCGATATTTTAATCTGCTGAGTATAGATTAGGAGAAACATCAGTGTTCGGAGTATCAGTTAAATGCATACTGGGCAGTGGCACTTGACCAACAAAAAACATTGATGTAGGGCATACCGGGCTAATGTATACCGGACAGTGCACTTAACTAGACCTAGTATACATTTCGGACATTCACCAAAGTGACTATGTGATCATCGACATTCACCGGTGTAAGTCAACAACCGCCAATTTCGGTCATTCACAGTAACATATATAGGAATGTGAAGCGAATTGTAACAAGTATACTTGCGAGAGAAAAGATGGTTTCAAATCAAAAAATGTAGCTAATAAAGGACAAAAGGAAGCGGAATGCATTGGTAAGCAACTCTTCTAATTTATATAAGACATTTATTTCCAAAATTTAAAAAAAAAACTGTGAATTATAAGAATTAAAGATTTGAATGAGGAAAACAAGAATTGAATAAACAAATGAAAAGTTAAAAACTAATGTAGTTTTATAAAGAAGTGCAATTGTTATAATATTGTTGCAAAGAAGATTGCCTAGATATGTGCAAGAATAAATGAATAAATATAGTAAAAAAACCTTAAATTCGTAAGTGTCCAAACAATATAAAAAAAGAGTTGGTGTGTTTATGTATAAATATATAATAAAAAACAAGATTTTATAAAATTGAAATATGCGGATTAAGACAATATCAGGTAATCAAAAAGGGAAATAAAATGTATGCAAAATAATTTAAAATTATTTGTAAACATTGATAAACATTGATAAATTAATATTTTTTTTAAATAAAAATAAAAAATTCTCAAATCAATGTTTACCAATAAAATTTATGAAATAGTTTTTAAAGAATTTAAATTGATTAACATTGTCTGTTATAATTTTTCAATAGATAATGCTTCTACGCCCTCAATAGGTAAACCTTTTGACTCACATTGCAGTTTTAACAAAATAAATACATTTTATGAATATCTGTACATTCAGGATATCAGCTCAACATAAGGATATCCTCTAATTTCAAATCTATTGCAAGACAAATAACATGATTACATGGTTTTTAATTGAGTGTTATACATTAATTTTGTAATATTAGCTCATTTTTTTTCATTACTTTTACATAATATGCATTTTATAAATAATATTGCATCAGTATAGGAATACGTCTCTACTACGAAGCATTCGTCATTGAAGCGACTACAAACACTCGTTTACAAACATTCATCAGTTACAAAAGCATAGATTTGATTTGCTTTAGCAACTGATGAAAAGTCTGGTAGGTCTTGGTTTGATCTTTGTTCCATACGAAAAAATGAATTGCCGCCTAAATCCATTTAACCGTAATTTGATCCAGAATTTTGAAGAGTGTTATTAAATGTTCATTAATGAACACTAAAATATGTATCTTACAACAAACATTATAAATAACAAAGCACTTTAAGTGTAAAATTTATTATTTAGTCGAAAAAAAGTTATAATTTATGAGCATTTACAATATGTAGTAAATGAGAGCAAAGGAGAGATAAAAATAATTAAATTAAATTTTTTAAAGCAGCTGTTGTCTTATGAGGATTGCATTCCAATCAGATAGTCAGATGAAATAACTATTGATGATTTTAACCCTGATTTTGCTCTTTTTAATTTCTATAGTAATTCAATAGGATTTAGAAACTTTTTGTTATTTATCACTAAAACGTTACCTTTGAATTTGTAACGTGCATGTTGATTAACTTCATTTTTTGTGAAGATTCCATAAATATATATCAAGAGTGGTTCTTACGGAACACCCTGCTTCTAACAAACTTTCAAACTACTTACTTTATGAAAACAGTGACAAGAGTGATTGTTGACAGCAAAAGAAATCCTGATGTGATGCATAGTATTATGAGTAATAATGGACTGTGTTCACGTTCATCTGGAAAACACACACAAAAATTAAAGCAAAAATTAATAGCTTGTTTACTGAAACACTATTAATTAAAAGTAATATCTGTAGTAAACTTTCACGTCTTATCTCTTTCGCTTCAGTTACATCAAAAATAGAAGCATTTTCTCTATTCTAATACAACTGTAAAACGTTGTTTGGATGCTTTTGTGTAGATCTGATTTTTTTAAATAGCTACTGTTGTGAAATCTGTTGAATGGAAAATGTTTGCTCAATTTAAATGACTTACGAACCACAATTTATATGACTGCTTAGCGATATGAGTTCCTCACCTTCTCTCCGTTATTAGGAAAGTATTATCATATACACCGAAGAGCCATTACATTATGACCACCCTCCATCTATAGCAATGGGCTCGCCCAGGAACAATGTTTTCATGGGGCACATTAGGATCCATAATCCTCATAGAACAATCCCTGACGTCTGTAAGCTACTTGAACATAGTTGCAGACCAGGTTCACCCATTCATGGCAACAGTTTTTCCTGCGAGAGATGGTGTTTACCAACAGGATAATGCACCATGTCATAAAGGTCGAATTGTCGATGAACATTCCAATGACTTTCAAGTCATGTCTTAGCTCCCAAATTCACCTGACCTTGATCCAATAGAGTATTTGTGGTTCTACTTGGAAAACCAAATTCGTGCTGCCACGCTACCCCCTCGCAATGTGAGGGAATTGCAGGAAGTGTTGGTGAGCGTTTGGTACCAGATACCTCAGACTACCTTTCAGCACCTTGTGGAATCAATGCCACGGCTGGTGCTAGTAGTTTTGAGGGCTAAAGGTGGTCCTACATGTTATTAGCAGGGTAGTCATAATGTAATGGCTTTCAGGTGTACTACATCACATACATATATTATCATATATAGTATATAGCAGTAGATCGATTTTTGTTTTTTTCCAACTTAACTTTATTCATTGATAATTTTTGCATTTTCTATTTCAATGCTCCTTTGATTAACTCATTCACTTCTGACAAGCCTTGAGAATGAACCCCTGTTAAGTACATGAAACATGTCGATTTTTGCCAGCTCCCTGTTCTTTTCTACAAATTAAGTTTTTATGCTAACAAGTATATTTTAAATAGTGTTTTTTTGTAGAGACGTGGAAGTTATTTGAAAATTTGCAATTATACAATGTTAATTAACGTCATTATGTTATGCATAATATTATAGATTAAAACTTATAAAATACCCATTTTATTTTACCTTTTTGTTCCATATATTAAGTTGTTTTTGCACAAACAATTAACAACTTTTAATGCACAGTTTCACTTACACTTTACATGTTTTACATCAATACATTTTTCTCACCTTCGACTTTTTCACAACGATGTCCAGAAATTCCTGGAAGACATTCGCAAAAGTAATAGGATCCAATGTAATTACAATGCGCACCATTTCTACAGTCATCTCTATTTTTGTTGCATGTTTCTAAGAAAAAAAATCAGATTATCATTAAAATAGCAATCCCTTCTCCAATCATATACAAGAGTACTTAATAAATCACAGTACGTAAAAATTAAAAGCGAACACCTTCAATAACTGTCTATCTAATAAGTAGGATTTTCATGTACTTGGATTTTGTCTTATCGATTTCGAGAGCGAACATTAACAAATTAATTTGTGCAGACGAATACAAGTATTAGATGCAAAAACATTCTTCTTCTAAGTAAACATACCTTCTTTTGACGGATTTGGTATCTTGACTCCCTCAAAACATGGAGAGTAGCCGTTATCTGAGAAAAATTGTCACAATAGTTAAAACGGAAGATCAGTTTATAGTTTGGTCCCCTTCCTGTTAATTTTGGTATTTGTGCATTTCATCCCTCCTATAAAACAGGTGGAGCGAATCGAAACCATTCTTGCGCTCTATTATAAAACTCATTCTAGGATAAATATAAAAAATATTAAAAATAAGTACTTGAAAAAATTATTTTTCCCAATTATTTATTGTTTGTAGATTTATATTATCAAAGATCGAAAATATTTTTGATTGTAAGGCATACGCACTTTTACACGAATTTAATTTATTCAATTTCAAATAGTAAAATCCTAAATTTGAACAGAATCGGGCAACTTGTTATGGAGAAATTGAAGTTTAAAAATATTTGCTCCTTGAGTGGCAAAATACGGAAAAGGGAAATTAACATCAAGGCATCCAATTCGTTAACCGCTTTCCTGCAAAAATTATTGAGACAGAATTTTCCAGATTACGGCTAACTACCCCCTTTCCCTATTTTGAGGGTATGGAATTTGAATTCTGTGAAAAACGTGTTTTAATTCGGAGAAGCCAAATTTTTGTGCCCTCGCTTTGTAACTGGGAGTTTTGTCTGCATAAGTTGTTTCACCTTCTTAAGAAGTCGAACCGTTAAGATTATGTTCTAGTGCAATCTTAAGATGGAAAAATACTAAAAACTTTTTGGTACAAGGTGCAACATTGAATTATCTTTTACCTCTACATGCATGGAATTATTTATAATATTGAAGGTTATTTACACATATGTATCTTTGGACTCCTCCGATAATTCCACACTTTTCTCCTTTATCCTCATTGCGAATAACTATTTGTCTCTAACAACCCTCCACTGTGAGTGAATGGAATAAAGCTCGGTACATAGGGGTTATGATCTGTGTTTTCAAGAATTATGTTAAAAATGATTGCATAGCTCTCACGGTTACAGTTACCAAGACAAAGTTTCAAAATTTTAAAATGACAACACTCACCTTTTTTTGATCAAAACGTAATCCTAAAAGTAACAAAATCTAAAAAGGATTTGGAATGATTTTAGCACAAGAAATTGCGAAACTGGGCTTTTGCAAGTGTCACTACTTTTCGTAACCACTAAAAACCAGAAAGTGTGGTAAAAACTGCCAAAAACGATGAAAAATGATAAAGAAAGCAATTTACGTTCTGAAAAAAATTTGACTAGTCCGTCTTCACTTGTCTGACATGTCCCTAGTTTCTCTCTGCATTTAAAGTTTTTTTTTGTGGATCAAAATCCCTTATCGTAAAAATTCATTAAAAAAATTTTGATACTTATTGCCAAAAGAGTAGTATCGCAATTTCTTGCACTAAAAATATCGCTCTAACTCCATTTTAGGTTTTTTACTGCAAGTATTACGTTTAAAAAAAAACAGGAAGCCACTACGTTGAAATTTCGAAATTTTGTCACTGCAGCTGTAATCATGAAATTTACGTATTCGTTTGTGATATCATTCTTGAGTGTATGGATCATAACACCTATATACAAAATCTTATTCTGTTCGCTCGAACGGTATACTCTCCAGAGTGTCAAATGCTGACAAAATTACCTTATAATCACTCTGTATATATATATATCCTTCTCTCCGTTAT